TTTTACTATTTGAAAGATTTTTTTCCACAGTTTCCTATGATTTTTCTTTATTTTGTCTTTTTATTCATTAATTCATTATATAATTAATGTTTCTTACACTAAAGTGTAAACCTAAAGTGACTATTTGGTCTTAATTATTGAAAAAAATTTTTAAATGTTTTTTTTTTTCTTTTATTATTGTTATTATTACTATTATTATTGTTGTTATTATTATTGTTATCATCAATTCTTTATTTATTTATTTACAGTCTTCTGTTATTTTTCCTCTTATTTCTTTTAGTTCTTTTAGTTTGCATGGTCTCCCTGTATTAACGTGGGTTCGAATAATTGAATAAACTAAACTGGACGTAGTGCTATGTTGATCCCTGATGAATAAAGGGACTAAGCCAAAAAAGAAAATGAATGAATAAATGAATAAAAATATAAGAACTGCAATTAGAAAATCATCAAATATATATATATATATATATATATATATATATATATATATATTATTTGGAAAGTTTCATTATTAAATAAGCATTTTTTTTACCAATATTACAGGAGGTCCACTACTAAGTCCACAAAGTGCACATTAAGTCAAATTAAGTGCACTTCTATTTGATAAGGCATGTGTGTTACGACTGATATTGGTTTTGTTTCTCTGTGATTTAGGAGTTCCTGCTCCACCAAGTGGTGTTTTGCCGATGCGAGACACGAACAGCTCCGTGCTGCTGCAGTGGAAGGAGCCCGCGGTGACAGAGGGCATTGTGGGATACTATCTGTACTGCAGCGAGGCTGGAAGCGGACAGTGGAAAACCATCAATAATAAGCCCATCACCACAACCAGGTCTGTACTTGTGCATGTTGTCTGTTTACACCTGATCTTAAAGAAACACTCCATTTTTTATTTGGAAATAGCCTCACTTTATTCAAGGCAAGTATTTCTAAAGCACATTTCATACACAATGGTCATTCAAAGTGCTTTATATAAACAAGATCAAAAGAATCAGGTATAAGACAACAAACAACAGATTAAAATGTGTTAAAACAGATTTTAAAGGAATAAAGAAAAGAAAGAAATATGTGGGACGGAGCACATTGTTTATTCAGTAAAGGCACAGCTAAACAGTTTTTTTTTACAATTCCCCTAGAGTTAAACAGGTGAGTTTTACCATTTTTTAATCCATTTTGATGATCTCCAGGTCTGGCTGGCGCTCTTTTAGCTTAGCTTAGCATAGATCATTGAATCGGATTAGACCATTAGCATCTCGCTCATCTCTCTATACAATGTCTAGTTGTATTATAACGTTTGCCTGAATTAATCTGTCAATATCAGTGTGGTGCAGCATGATGGCTCAGTCACCTCATAGCAAGAAGGTCGCTGGTTCAAGCCTCGGCTTGGTCAGTTGGCATTTCTGTGTGGAGTTTGCATGTTCTCCCTGTGTTGGCGTGGGTTTCCTCTGGGTGCTTCGGTTTCCCCCACAGTCCAAATACATGTGCTCTAGGGGAATTAGATAAGCTAAATTTGCCTTAGTTTATGAGTGTGTGTGTTTGTGTGTGTGTGTATGCATGCGTGTGTGCTTGTATGAATGAGTGTGTATGGGTGTTTCCCGGCACTGGGTTGTGGCTGGAAGGGCATCTGCTGTGTAAAACATATGCTGGAATAGACGGTCAAAGATAATCACCCATTCTCCCTCTCTTCTCAAATGGGATGGTGGACCAAATGAGATGTTACCATGGGCCAACTGTGGCCTGTGGGCTCTAGTTTGGGCATCTCTGGTCTACAATACCAGACAAAAGTCTTGTCGTCAATCCCAGTTGTAAGAGCAGCAAATATTAACTTGGCTTCAAGTTGATCATTTAAAAAAGTGGCAGAAGGATTTTTCTGATGAATCAACTGTTGAGCTGCATCCCAATCATCACAAATACTGCAGAAGACCTACTGGAACCAGCATGGAGCCAAGATTCTGATTGAAATCAGTCAAGTTTGATGAAAAAAAAATCATGGTTTGGGATTACATCCAGGATGGGGGTGTGTGAGAGATCTGCAGAGTGGATGGGAACATCAACAGTCTGAGATATCAAGACATCTGTGCTGCCCATTACATTACAAAGCACAGGAGAGGGACAATTCTCCAGCAGGATAGTGCTCCTCCTCATACTTCAGCCTCCACATCAAAGCTCCTGAAAGCAAAGAAGGTCAAGCTGCTCCAGGATTGGCCAGCCCAGTCACCAGACATGAACATTATTGAGCATGGAGGAGACATTGAAGATAAACACAAAGACTCTTGATGAACTCTGGGAGTCCTGCTGAACGCTTTCTTCTTCATTCCAGATGACTTTATTAATCAGTGATTTGAGTCATGTCAGAGATGTATGGATGCAGTCCTCCAAGCTCATGATGGAGTCAGACACAATATTCATTCTGTCTCCACTGCAGCAGGACTTTATATTCTATACTGGACATTATTACTGTTTAAGACTTTAGTCTAAGCAGAGTCAGAGCTTACTGTCCTAATGAAATCATTCACACTCAAGACATGATCAGATTTTATTTTGGTCCAAGAAGCATCATCTAGAGGCCTTTGCCTTTCATATAAGCCACTTCTGATGCCAAATGATCAACTAAAAGTTATTATTTGATGTTCCTAAACCTTGGATAGGTGACAAGACGTGTGTCAGGTATATATATATATATATATATATATATATATATATATATACTGTAGATTTAAATGTATATATATGTAAGGTAAGTAGGCTTTTACTTTAACAATTTGTGTTTTTTCCTTTGTGTTTTTCCTGCATATGAATATATGAGAACATGTATGCTGTGAGTTTGTGTGTTTTGAAACTACACTGTAAAAGCTATATGATCAATTCGTCCTGACAGCATATGTTTTTAGGCAACCCAGGCTCATTCTGAAAATGAAGTCCCATGGACTTTTCTGGAGACTGTGAAATACGTCCGGGGAAGTCTGTATTTTTGCAGTATTTGTTTTCGCGTATCCATGAGAGGCCGCTGTGTGCGCTTTTTTACATCTCAAATGTCTCACGAGTACAGTTCGCACTTGCGCTGTTCTTGCGTAAACCCACCAAAGGCCGCTGTCGACCGACCGACTGACTCAATGATTGACTGTGCGATCGGCCAATCGACCCACCCACCCACTTTCCTCCTTCCCTAAACCCAACCAATTAAACCGATTGACACGCCTGTTTACTTCCCTAAACCCAACTGACCGGTTTACAAAAGCCGAAAAAGAAAAGCTCTCGTCTGATTTCTAACACATTTTCGGATTTTACCACATTCTCACCCTGTTATGAACTTGTTCACTTTATTTTTGGATTCTGTTTTTGTGTCACCTGATTTCTGAAACTGATTTTCTCCGCACTTAAACCCGGTTGTCGTCGTCGTCAACTCCTCTCTGCGCCTCAAGTGCGACGACGTACACGACGAGCTAACTGGACAAGCTGGTTGCTGCGGGAAAGCCAGTAAGCGCCAAAAGGAACGCCGTCATACCGCCCCATATCGTTCGCTTAAAAATGAAATAAAATGCAGCCATATGTATCTCCGGCTACATAATTTGCGATCTCCAGAAACGTCCTCGGGACTACGTTTTCAGAATGAGCCTGGGTTGTTTTTAGGTCTTTGTAACTAAGTTAAGAATGTTCTAACTTAATTTTGTAAGTTAGGCACACTGTTTTAAGTCAATTTAACATAATATAAGTTCAATGGAAGTTAATTTGATTCAATTTAAAAATTTAAGGCAACAAGGATGTTTCACAGTGTAGTTTTTTGTTAAAGAGTGCTAAAACCAACCAAAAAAATAATTAGAGAAGGCCTGTACAATACATAACCCATCAGAAATCTTGACAAAAGCATTCTCCATCCAGGATTCTCACTGAAAGGGCTTTAGTTAAACATGTCGTCTTCCCTCAGGTTCACCGTTGACGGCCTGAAGAGCAATAAGCAGTATGTGTTTCGGGTGAAGTCTGTGGGCGTATCTGGAAACAGCATCTACTCTGAAGAGTCTCCTGTCATTCGAGTCAAAGCAGCACTGAGTAAGAGTTTGACCAGCCGCTGAACCAGAAAGCTTTAAACATGACGCCGGCTTTTCTTAAGTGCACCTGACTGTCTGCATACACTCTAGATAACTGTTTATGTATTTATAAAGCTGTGAGTTAGCTTTCTCCAGAGAGAGAGACAGCGTCTGGGCTGTTTTGACTGGGCTCAGTTACACTAATAAGCATACAAACTGCCTAGCAATGCAGTAACAACAATATCAAATGCCCTAGCAATGCCATGACTTGGAATTAACTAAGAATTAATTAAGTGTACTTACATCAAAATATAAATACAATGTACTTGCATTATGTTCGTAATGTATTGCAGAACACTTCTGGTGCTCTTAAAGTGGGATAAAGGGAAAGTTTTGGTGGTATGTGAAAGTTTAAAGCTGCATTAAAGAGTAAAGGATGGTAAACAGTGTAATTACAAGGGTAATTACAAACAATCATTAAAGATGTCATTGTATGCAGGCATTTAATCAAGCATATATACAATGTAAACACAAGCGCATTGTTATGAAATAATAATTTCAGTGTAAGTGCATATTATTTAAGGCCACTTGACATAAAGTGGGACCAGTTTTTTTGGACAAATGCTTCATCTGTAAGCATCAAACACACATCAACCAAAAGAAAGTAAGAAAGAAAAGGTTTCTTTTAACTCCATGATTCCACTATCGTCACTCAAAAAACAGAAAATATAGTTTCAATAATTATTACAGTGACAAGAAGTTCCCACTAATATGGGAACTAAGAAATTCCCACTAATAATAGTTCCTCTAATAAGCCTACAAACTGCCTAGCAACGCAGTAACAACAATAACAAATGCCCTAGCAATGCCATGACTTGGAATTAGCTAAGAATTAATTAAGTGTACTTACATCAAAATATGAATACAATGTACTTGCATTATGTTCGTAATGTATTGCAGAACACTTCTGGTGCTCTTGAAGTGGGATAATGGTAGGGTTAGGGGAAGTTTTGGTGGTATGTGAAAGTTAAAAGCTGCATTAAAGAGTAAAGGATGGTAAACAGTGTAATTACAAGGGTAATTACAAACAATCATTAAAGATGTATTTATATGCAGGCATTTAGTCAAGCATAAATACAATGTAAACACAATAAGCACATTGTTATGAAATAATAATTTCAGTGTAAGTGCATATTATTTAAGGCCACTTGACATAAAGTGGGACCAGTTTTTTTGGACAAATGCTTCATCTGTAAGCATCAAACACACATCAACCAAAAGAAAGTAAGAAAGAAAAGGTTTCTTTTAACTCCATGATTCCACTATCGTCACTCAAAAAACAGAAAATATAGTTTCAATAATTATTACAGTGACAAGAAGTTCCCACTAATATGGGAACTAAGAAATTCCCACTAATAATAGTTCCTCTAATAAGCCTACAAACTGCCTAGCAACGCAGTAACAACAATAACAAATGCCCTAGCAATGCCATGACTTGGAATTAGCTAAGAATTAATTAAGTGTACTTACATCAAAATATGAATACAATGTACTTGCATTATGTTCGTAATGTATTGCAGAACACTTCTGGTGCTCTTGAAGTGGGATAATGGTAGGGTTAGGGGAAGTTTTGGTGGTATGTGAAAGTTAAAAGCTGCATTAAAGAGTAAAGGATGGTAAACAGTGTAATTACAAGGGTAATTACAAACAATCATTAAAGATGTATTTATATGCAGGCATTTAGTCAAGCATAAATACAATGTAAACACAATAAGCACATTGTTATGAAATAATAATTTCAGTGTAAGTGCATATTATTTAAGGCCACTTGACATAAAGTGGGACCAGTTTTTTTGGACAAATGCTTCATCTGTAAGCATCAAACACACATCAACCAAAAGAAAGTAAGAAAGAAAAGGTTTCTTTTAACTCCATGATTCCACTATCATAACTCAAAACACAGAAAATATAGTTTCAATAATCATTACAGTGACAAGAAGTTCCCACTGTTCTGTTACACTAATAAGCCTACAATCTGCCTAGCAATGATGTAACAACAATAACAAATGGTCTAGCAACCATCTAACAATGCCATGACATAAAATGATTGGTCATGCCCACATAAATTGATGCAAACTCCATTACTGAAATGAAAGATGATAGCTGCGTCCTAAATGGCACACTATACACTATGCACTTATTCACTATTTACTTACACACTTAACAGCATAGTATATGAATGTAATGTCGTCCCAAATAGAACACTAATGGGTTTTTCACTAAGCGGAAATTCAAACCGATTCCCTGATGATGCCAAATTACCGAAATAAATGACCAAAGTACCAAATAATACCTGCCTTTATATATTTACACTCACCGGCCACTTTATTAGGTACACCTTACTAGTACCAGGTTGGACTCCCTTTTGCCTTCAGAACTGCCTTAATGGCATAGATTCAACAAGGAACTGGACATATTCCTCAGAGATTTTGCTCCATATTGACATGATAGCATCACACAGCTGCTGTAGATTTCTCGGCTGCACATCCATGATGCCAATCTCCCGTTCCACTACATCCCAAATGTGCTCTATTGGAATGAGATCTGGTGACTGTGGAGGCCATTTGAGTCCAGTGAACTTATTGTCATGTTTAAGAAACCAGTCTAAGAAGATTCACGCTGTCGTATTCTGCTTGTGTAGCCCATCTGCTATTCTCTGTAAACCCCAGAGAAGGTTGTGTGTATCCCAATGGAACAGCAGTTTCTTAAATACTCAGACCAGCTGGACACCAACAACAACCATACCACGTTCAAAATCACTTAAATCCCCTTTCTTCCCCATTCTGATGCTCACTTTGAACTGCAGCAGATCGCCTTGACCATGTCCACGTCTAAATGCATTAAGTTGCTGACATGTGATTGGCTGATTACAAATTTGCATTAACGAGCAGTCGGACAGGAGTACCTAATAAAGTGGCCAGACAGTGTATATAGACGATAATATTGTTTTTCTATTTTAATCCTTTAGTTTTTCATATTTAAAGATGTTTGTGTACTGATGTGCATCCCTGTGTGTTTATTAAGCAATGAGTATGTGCGTTTTGGACTCGCATAGGCGCATATCACTAACTCATTCTTAAAATGACACATGAAACTTGCGCCATTGACTATAGAGCAGCTTTTAGTTGGACAATGGTCTCCTCAAAGTCGTAATAAACCAACATTGCACCTCGTTTTCAGACCGGCACACCTATGGGTGCACAAATAGGCGCAAATACAAATGCTGTTTAACTAATTTGACACAAAACATGAAAATAAAACCTGCGCCAGGCTGAAAATAGCAACAAAATAAAAGGAAAGGGGTCTGAATGCAGACCTGGTGCAGTGCAATCTGAGCTTCATCCAATGCTTTTCATTGTGCTCACCTAACCCCACCCCTAACCCTATCCCTCACAGAGACGTCACTAGCTCCATTTGAGTGTATTGTGTCTGACTGCATCGCAGAGTGATGCAATCTCAGCTTGCATCATAAAGGCTGCATCCAGATACTATTGACTAGTGTCGCACCTGGTGCCACATTGCACTGGTGCATAAAAGTGTTGTTTATCTTATTTTTGTAATTTAAAAGCATCAAAAAATTACATACATGACCTTTAAAGGGCAAAATAAAGACCAAGAAAGAGACAGAGCTCATTGAAAGTGCATTCGACAGACGGCACACTGTACTGCCTCCCTCATTTTGGACAACAATATGAATAAAGTGTTGACATGCCTGTATACTTTGATTAAAATTAGCATACGCCACCCATTTTAATATGAGCTTAATCACATTATTTAGATTGAATTATTGCATTTAAAATATTACAATTGCAATATTACTAAAGTTCCATTATAATCTTTAAGATGGTCCATGTAAACATGTTCTTTGTAATGAGAGAAGATGAAAGTCCACTTGTGTTTTCTGTAGTCAGTTACTGCTGGTGTGTGCTTTAATCTTCATCATACTGTGTGCAGAGGAGCTTCACATGTAATGTTCATTCATTCAGACTCTCCTGCATTAATGTGAGGTCGGATCCGGACAAACGTTCCATCTGTGAGCATCAAACATTATCCTCTCACTCAAAACACAGAAAACGTTTCATTAATTATTACGATGACCAGAAGTTCCCACCCATCACTGTCTGATCATATTAGTGGAGTTAAAGCCCAGGGGTATTCAGTACTTTTAGCTGAAGCCTCTCTTCGGTTTATGTAGTTTTGCCACATTTGGAATTAATCAAGTGCACATAAATAACTAGATGCAAACAGTTTTAATTGCCTGATGGAGGTAGTTGAGGTTGCATGTCAGCAAAAAAAGAGCAGGAATAGGTTTTAATCTTTGTGTTGAGGGAATGCAGAATTGGATCCATTATGGCAAATTTACAGTCCTTCAATTGATTGTGCATTATGTTTAAGGGTTAGTGCTGAATTAATTGCTGTGGTTTTAATGCTTAGAGTTAAAAGGTTGAAACAAATCTAACACATGATGCGTTGGGCTGATGCAAAAGCCATGTAGCTTTTTTTAAAACATACATTTAAGTGTGAATTTAAAGCTGTAAACATGACTAAATACATTTTAAGATTAAAACATGACAACACTGAAAACCAAAACCGTACATTCAAATAAATACGTATCAAATTATATAAATAAGTAAAAAAATAATTATTATATATATATATATATATATATATACACACACACACACACACACACAGTTGAAACCAGAAGTTTACATATACAGTATAAAAAGGCACATAACCATTTTAAAAGAGTCAGATGTTAATGTGACTAAACTTTTTCTCTTTTAGGTCAGGATTAAGTCAGGATTATCAAATGTGTTTCTGTTCTGCTTAATAGCAGAATAATGAGAGAGAGATTGTTTGAGAAATGGTTATAACTCTTCTTGAAAGTCAAGTTAACACACAATAAGATTATTCTGCCTCCGGAACAGCTCAGATGATGATGTCAAGGTTTTGGAAGTTTCTGATTGGCTAATTGACAACATTTGAGTTAATTGGGGGCACAACTGTAGAATAGGAAAAGCTTAAACACACTGCTTCCTTGTGTGACAACATGAGGAAATCAAAAAGCCAGAATCAATAACATAGCCAGATTACAACTTGCTTAATGTCACTGGGAATAATGTTTGGAGACATGTCCTGTGCTCTGATGGAACTAAGATTGAACTGTTTGGCCATAATGAGCAGTGATACATTTGGAGGCCAAAGGGGAAAGCTTACAAGCCTAGCAACACCATCCCAACTGTGAAGTATGGGGGCGGCAGCATCATGTTGTGGGGCTGTTTTGCTGCAGGAGGGACTGGTCCACTTCACAGCATAGATGGCATCATGAAGAAAGAACATTATGGAGAAATACTGAAGCAACATCTCAAGACATCAGCCAGGAAGTTAAAACTTGGCCACAAATGGCTCTTCCAAGCAGACCATGAACTTAAGCATACTGCCAAATTAGTTCAAATGTGCTTTAAGGACAACAGAGTGATTGTTTTGGAGTGGCCATCACAAAGCCCTGATCTCAATCCTATAGAAAATTTGTGAGAAGAGTTGAAAAATCTTGAGAGAGCAAGACAAATCTGACTCAGTTACAGCAATTCTGTCAGGAGGATCGGGCCAAAATTCCTGCAAACTATTGAGAGAAGCTTGTTGAAGGAGACCCAAAACACTTGACCAAAGTTATACAGTTTAAAAGCTTAACAAAATACCAAGTAAATGTGTGTAAACTTTTGACTGTGTAGAAATTAATAAACATTCTCATAAAACAAATTCTCTCATTATTCTGGCATTTAGCAAATGTAAATGATTTAGGTAACCAAACGGACCTAAAATATTAAACATTTAGTATGATTTACCATCAGACATTTGCTAAAAAATGGTAATGTTCCTTATTTAGAGTGTATGTAGACTTCTTATTCATACGATTTATGCTTGTAGCTACATGTTTTTATTCTCCATCACTGACCTATAACATTATATTGCACATAATAATAAAAGATATGTGTCGGAAATGTGATGCTCTTATTTTTGATCAATAAAGGGACTAAGCCGTAGGAAAATTAATCAATTTTTTCGCGCAACTTGATATAAATATAATAATCCAGCCTTAGCTGCCAATAGCCCCTCCCCTTATTCAGCAGCTCCTCCTCAATGTGTTGTGGGTAATATTTGTAGATCATTGTGACAGATGATCTGTCTTATAAATATAAGTGATTTGTGTGTTTATAAAGTGTTGCACTTCAATGTGTCGGCTCCTTTAAGAATGCACTCCTCATTAGTTATGCATGAGGAACATACCACGAGGTTGTATGTTATAGCATGTTCCGGTTAACAAGTGGGCTTATAATAAAGTACAATCTTTACATGAAGATGGACGTGTGTTAATTCCTCAGAGTATCAGTTCACAACAATATTAGCCATTAGAGTAAGCACAGATCTGCACTGAGAAATTTTACCAAAAATAGTAGACCATCCGGGTAACTTCGGAGAGCTCATTTTTAACATTCTATGATATTGTATTTTTGACTAATATTATGACAGACAGTATCCAAATTGGGATGCAGCATATGAATTTACTGGTCAAAATGGTTTGTGTTCTGTAACCTTTGACCTTTCCTTTCTTCATTACTGCAGATGTTCCTTCATGTCCATCGGCCATCTCTGTGCTGAACTGCAGCAGAGCGGAGATGGTGATTGGCTGGAGAGCACCTGTCAATCATGGAGGAGACCCTGTGCGCGGATACTACCTGGACCAGAGGCAGAAATCAGAGAGCATCTGGAGAGAGGTCAACGTCAAGCCTGTGAAAGAGAGAGTCTATAAGGTCAGCTCAGATTCTACACTTCCATCTTCTGTTCTTCACATTTTGGGATTTCACAAGGAAAATATGCTGAATGGGAACTCTAGGATGCATGTTAAAAGCACAAAATTAATCAACTGTTCATTCCAAGCACGTATACACTCAACCATTTAGTGTTGTTCCAAATGGCAAATGACGTTTAATGGTTGTCACAAAAACCCAAACTAGCGATATATACTATACTAGTAAATAAACCTGTCATAACTGCATTTACCATCATGAAGCGGCAGAGAATTTTGTTTGCAAAATCCGAAATAAACGTAATAATCCAGCCTTAGCTGCCAATAGCCCCAATAGCTTTAATAACAGCACCCCCTCCTCTTAGTCAGCAGCCCTCTTCCTTTTTTCAGCAGCCCTTCTCTTTAATCAGCAGCTCCTCCTCTTAATCAGCAGCTCCTCCCTTTTTCAGCAGCCCCTCCCCTATATCAGCAGCTTCTCCCTTTTTACAAGAGCTCCTCCTTGTATTTAGCTGGTTCTCCCAATTTTCAGTAGCTCCTCCCCAATAACAGCAGCCCCTCCCTTTAATCAGCAACTCCTCCCCTTACTCAGTAGCCCCTCCCCTTTGATAAAAAGCTCTTTCCTGTATTCAGCAGCTCCACCCATTATTCAGCTGCTCCTCCCTAATGACAGCAGGCCCTTCCCTTTACCAGCAGCTCCTCCTATTATTCAGCAGCTCCTTCTCTTAATCAGCAGCTCCTCCCAAATAACAACACTCCCCCCCTTTATTCAGCAGCCTCTCCCAATCCCCAGCTCCTCCCTCTTTATAAGAGCTCCTCCTTGTATTCAGAAGCTCCTCCCATTAATCCGCAGCTCCTCCTGTTTATCAAGAGCCCCTCCCCTTTTATAAGAGCTCCTCCCTGTATTCAGCACTCTGCCCATTTTCAGCAGCCCCTCCCCTTTTTTGGCAGCTCTTCCCTTTTTACATTAGCTCCTCCCTGTATCCAGCAGTGCCTCCCATTATTCCGCTGCTCCTCCCTAATAACAGCAGCCCCTCCCTTTTCATAAGAGCTCCTCCTTGTATTCAGCAGCTCCTCCCATTATTCAGCTGCCCCTCCCATTTATCAACAGCCCCTCTCCTTTTATAAGAGCTACTCCCTGTACTCAACAGATCCTCCCATTTTTTCAGCAGCTCCACCCCAATAACAGCTTTCCCTCCCTATTATCAGCAGCGGCTCCTCTTTTACAGGAGCTCCTGCTTGTATTCAGCAGTTCCTCCCACTTTTCAGCTACTCCTACCCAATAATAGCAGCCCCTCCCCTTTTATAGTTACCCCTTCCTTTTATCAGAAGCTCCTCCCCTTTTAGAAGAACTCCTCTTTGTATTCAGTTGCATCTCCCCTTTATTAGGAGCTCCTCCCCTTTTACAAGAGCTCTTCCCTCTATTCAGTAGTTCCTTCCCTTAACCAGTAGCCCCTCCCCTTAAACAAGAGCTCTTATCTGTATTCAGTAGATCCTCCCCTTAATCAGCAGCCCCTCCCCTTTATCAACTACCCTTCCCTTCAGATGAACCCCTCCCATTATTAAGCAGCTCCTCAACATTTTTCAGCAATTCCTCCCCTTTATCAGCAGCGCCTTCCCTTTAACAGCAGCTCCTCCCTTTTAATAGTAATCTTCCCCTTGATCTATAGCCCCTCCCCTTTTAGAATAACCCCTCCGCTTTATTAGGAGCTCCACCCCTTTTAGAAGAACTTCTCGCTGTATTCAGTTGTCCCTCTCCTTTATCAGGAGCTCCTCCCCTTTTACAAGAGCTCCTCCCTGTATTCAGTAGCTCCTCCCCTTAACCAGTAGCCCCTCCTCATTTACAAGAGCTCCTCCCTGTATTCAGAAGCTACGCCCCTTAACCAGTAGCCCCTCCCCTTTTCAAGAGCTTCTCCCTCTGTTCAGTAGTTCTTCCCTTTAATCAATAGCCCCTCCCCTTTTACAAGAGCTCCTTCCTGTTTTCAGTAGCTCCTCCCATTAACCACTAGCCCCTCCCCTTTTACAAGAGCTCTACTCTGTATTTAGTAGCTCCTCCCCTTAATCAGCAGCTCCTCCTCTTTACCAGCCACTCCTTCCCTTCTGCTCTGACTGTTGAGTGTATGAAGCGTTTAAGATAACACACTTCATACCAGACCCATTGTGGTTTGCTATGGGTCGATCTCACGTGAGTGACAGGTTGACCCCGCCCTCATTTGTATGATCACCAATCCGAGAAGTTATTTTCATTGAAGATCAAAAGAGATAATGAGATCAATGAATCATTTAACACACACCGCATTGTTCTATATAACTGAACAACTGTTCATTTGCTGAGTTTGTTCAGTGCAGATATTTCAATACAGCCACACAGGGCAAAGGTGAACCTACTCATCTGCCTTTGTCTGTGCTTTCTCACTTTAAACGTGTCACTGAGCAACCGCTGTGTCCATGGAGACTTAATTAACTTGTTTATTTTTAATTGTTTTCACTGTTTAATTAGCCTGTGCTCTAGCGTTAACATGGCATTAGTGGTGTGATGAAAAAGTCACTGTTAGAGAAAGTGATGTTTAATTTGAGATCTATATTGAGTTTTAAAGTAGGATTAAAGCAGATACATGCTAACCAATGCAGCGTGTCAATTTTTAACTGTTGTGTTGTTTACTAACACATTATTCTGACATGTTTAAATAAATGTAGTTTAATTAAAATAATATAGGCAACACGGTGGCTCAGTGGTTAGTACTGTGGCCTCAAAGCAAAAAGGTTGCTGGTTCGAGTCCCGGCTGGGTCAGTTGACATTTCTGTGTGGAGTTTGCATGAATTGATGAACTAAATTGGCCGTAGTGTATGAGTGTGTGTGTGAGTGTGTACAGTACTCGGTTGCAGCTGGAATGACATCCACTGTACAAAACATATGCTCGATAAGTTAGCAGTTCATTCCGCTGTGGTGACCACTGATAAATACGGATTAAGCCGAAGGAAAATTAATGAATGAATAAAATAATATACAGAATAATAGAATAAATAAATATGAAAATAAATATAAAAATGAGAAGAAAGAGAGGGAATAAATAAATAAATAAAATATGAGAACAAACATTAAAAATAGGAAAAATTAAAAAAATAATAAATAAAAAAATAAAAAAGAAGAATGAGAAAAGAAATATAGAAATAAATAAAATAGAGAGAACAAATAAATAAATTAATGGAGAAATATGAAAAGAGAGAAGAAATAAATATGAGAAGAAATATAAAAAAACAAATAAATTAGAAAGAATAGCAAAAAGAGAAGAAATATGAGAGAATAAATATAAAAATAGAGAAGAGAGAATAATAAATAAATGTGAAGAAATGTAAAAATAAATATAAACAGAGAAAAAATATAAGAGAGAATAAATAAATAAATAAATGTGAAACAGTAAATATAAAAAGAGAAAAATAGTTGGAGAATAATAAAATATGAGAGAAGAAGCATAAAAATTGAGGAAAGAGAAATAATAAATAAATAAATGAGAAAAAATTGAGAAAATGGAGAAAATAGAATAAATGAATAAATAAATATGAGAGAAAAGAAGAGAAAAATAGAGGGAAAAAAGATAAGAGCGCAAGAAGAAATAAATATGAGATAAGGATATGAAAATAGAGAAACAAGTGAGAGAATAAATTAATGAATAAGTAAATAAATACATAAAAATATGATAGAAGAAATATAAAAATAGAGAAGAGAGAATGAATAAATATGAAACAGTACATATAAAAATAGAAACAAAAGAGATAAAGAGTTGGAGAAGAAACAATTATGAGAGAAGAAATATAAAAATAAAGAAAAGAGTGAAAAAATTAATGAGAATAAATATGAAAAGAAAGAGAGGGGGAGAAGAATTATGTAAGTAGAAAAAAGAAAGATAATAAATAAGTGAGAAAGAATAGAAAAAAAGAAAATAGAATGAATGAATGAATGAATGAATGAATGAATGAATGAATGAATGAATAAATAAATAATTAAATATGAGAAAAAATATAAATATAAAGAGAAAAAAGACAAAAGAACAAGGAATAAATAAATATGAGAGAAGAATATAAAAAGAGAGAAAAAAGTAAGAGAATAAATGAACGAATAAATAAATAAAAAGATTAATAAATATGAAAATTAGAAACATAAAAATAAAGGTGACAGAATAAATAGATAGATAGATAAATAAATAAATGAATAAATAAATACAAATAATAATAAATAGATAGATAATAAATAATTACATAATTAATTAATTGTAAAAAATGAGAGAAGAAATATAAAAATAGACGAGTAAATAAATAAAGTAATGAATAAAAATGAGAAAAGAGATACAAAACGAAAGAAAAGGAAATGATTGAGAATAAATAAACATGAAAGAAGAAATGCAAGAATAGAAAGGAAAGAGTTAATCAGGGTTTATGTGTTAGTATAGCGTGTGATGAGTGCACAGCGCCCTCTGATGGACACAATCCTTCACTACTTCAGCCTTCAGTCTCCTCCTATTAACATCAGCAGAAAAACTGTTCGAGGGACAAGACGAGGTTATTTCACTCACGGGATGTTTCAGACTGCATCATGTCAATTAAGAACATTGATCTCTGAGCCTGTCGCATGTGAATCCCATGTTAATGAGACACACACACATTCGCGGCTCCTGTCCAGCTTCATTAAAGGAGACCTATTTTCCTTCTTTACACAAGATGTGAATAAGTTTCTGATGTCCCTAGAGCGTGTAGTGAAGCATCAGCTCAAAATACCATCAAATTTTGTTTTATAACTCTCTGAAACTGACCCTTTTAGGCTTTTATCCTAATTGTGGCTTTTTAGTATAGAGCCAGATCAGTTTAAAAAATAATACAATTACAAAATAAAATTAATACATCCACCACACAATTCACACTTACAAAGTCCAATTTATAAGATTTCATAAATACACAAATCCAGTTCGTAAATTCAAAACACGCAACAAAAATACACAATCATTTGGAAATTTACACAACACTATTCATAAATATACAAATCTAATTCGTAAATTCAAAACACAATTCATAAATACACAAATCTAATTCGTAAATTCAAAACACAATTTATAAATACATAAATCCATTTAGTAAATTCAAAACATGCTTAAAAATACACAAATCCAATTCATAAATTCTAGACATGTTTCGTAAATGCGCAAATCCAATTTGTAATTTCTAGACATGATTCATAAATACACAAATCCAATTCGTAGGATCAAAACACGATTCATAAATACACAAATGCAATTTTTTACTTCAAAGTAAGCTTAAAAAATACATAAATCCAATTTATAAATTCAAAACACGCTTAAAAAAACACACAAATGCAATTCGTAAATTCCAAACACAATTTGTAAATACACAAATCCAATTCGCAAATTCAAAACACGATTAAAAAATACACAAATCCAAGTTGTAAATTCAAAACATGATTCAAATATACATATCTAATTTGGAAATTCAAAACGCAATTCGTGATACACAATTCCAATTCGTAAATTAAAAACATGATTCAAAAATACCCAAATCCAATTCGTAAATTCAAAACACAATTGGTGAATAAACACTTCCAATTCATAAAATAAAAATACGATACAAAAATACCCAAATCCAATTCGTAAAATAAAAACACAATTTATAAATGCACAAATCAGGTGCGTAAATTCGAAACACAATTTGAAATACACAATTCCAATTCGTAAATTCAAAACACAATTCGTAAATACACAATTCCAATTAGTAAAATAAAAACTTGATTCAAAAATACACAAATCCAATTCGTAATTTCAAAACACAATTGGTGAATAAACACTTCCGATTCATAAAATAAAAATACGATACAAAAATACACATCTAATTCGTAAAATCAAAACACAATTCGTAAATACAAAAATTCAATTTGCAAATTCGAAACACGATTCAAAAACACACAAATCAAATTCGTAAATTCAAAACACGATTAAAAAATACACAAATACAAAATTCGTAGACTAATAATTTTACTCGTGAATTCACAAATTGTGTGTTGTATTCATGAATTACATTTTATAGATTTTGTAAATGTGAATTGTGCTATGCATGTATGCATTTTATTTTGTAAATGTATAATTCTTGAGACTGGTCTGGCTTGATATTTTTGTGACTTTCACTTTAAATTCAAATGAGATTGTGCTCTTTTCAAAAGAGGGCGGAGCTACACAAGCATAGTGTCAGCATAGTGGCAGATTCAAAAACAAGACTAACATCCTATGCTAATGAGGGAGAGATAGTCGGCGGCCATAGTAGTTGGCGATTTTCCCCTCTGATGACACGCACAAAGGAAGATGTTTCTGCAGAACACTTAATGTTTCTTAATTCATTTTTACCATTAGATGCTGGTTATCACATAATCCTGCCACACAACTGTGTTTAAACCCCTTATAAAAGTGATCTCTGCATAATAGGTGCCCTTTAAAACACACAGTGAACATGTGTGCGTAAATCTGCCCTCTGCTGGAGGCGCTCTGTCCTGCAGCTCTCAGATAAGCCTCTGATATGATAAGAGGATTCAGGCAATGGTTAATCACGGGTCTAAAGGCTCTAAAAGGCCTGTTTTCCTAAATCCAATCCCAATTACGTGTGTGTCTAGGTGGCCACTTGTCATTACAGAAAAGCTGTGTTTATGGGATAAGCAGCTCTCAGGCCTAATTCTCCTCCATATAGATGTCAACCAGCGGATCAATGGGCTGGAGATAAACACTTCTCTCTGGACAGACTTAATTACTGGTTACTAAACTATAGAATTTAAATGAAAAACCATAAAAAAAAAACATTTACATGTTGAAATAAATATAACAAAAAATTAATAAAATAAATAAATATAATTATAATTATAATAAAATTTGATTAGGCAACGCAGTGGCGCAGTAGGTAGTGCTGTCACCTCACAGCAAGAATGTCACTGGTTTGAGCCTTGGCTAGGTCAGTTGGCGTTTCTGTGTGGAGTTTGCATGTTCTTCCTGCGTTCGTGTGGGTTTCCTCCGGGTGCTCCGGTTTCCCCCACAGTCCAAACACATGCAGTACAGGTGAATTGGGAAGGCTAAATTGTCCGTAGTGTATGAGTGTGAATGAGTGTGTTTGGATGTTTCTCAGAAATGGGTTGTGGCTGGAAGGGCATCCACTGCGTAAAAACATGCTGGATAAGTTGGCGGTTCATTCCACTGTGGAGACCCCGGATTAATAAAGGGACAAAGCCGACAAGAAAATGAATGAATGAATTTCGTTTTGTCTTTTATTTTAGCTTTATTTTTGTCTGTTTTGTTTTAGCTGACGGGTCTTCAGGAAGGACATTTTTACCAGTTTCGAGTTTTTGCAGCCAATATTATAGGAGTGGGCAAACCTTCTGAACCCAGTGAACTGCTCTTATGTGAGCCCTGGACCATGCCTGAGCCGGGTGAGTCACAGTCAACTATGGACAATATTAGAGATTTGACATGCTTTATGTTTAATAAATGACAGGTACATTCAGGGCTTCATCTGCAATTGTTGATTATGACTTGGTTTTCATTTATGTGAAAAGATTGAATATCCACTCATATTACAGCATGTTCTTATACAGTTATCATTGACTTTCAGAGATGCGTTTCTTACACTATATTGATTACAGCATTGAATAACAGGCTGTTCTTATGTTATCCCCCTTTATTTTAGATTAGACTGCATTATTTCACTGACTAGACATTCATTTAACAAGAAATTAGATAAATTGCTTGTCTTGTTTGTGATTCCTCATATGCAAAATACTATAGTAATATATAGTACATACTACAGTGTTTTTGAACCATACTGTACAATTGATATGTTGTGGGGATTCTATAGTTGCTATGGTAACACGGAAATGCTTGAAGTTTCTTCCAACCCGACTCTACATCATAACATTTCAATTCACATGGATGGGGCAACCATTACTGCATCCAAAATGGTGAAAAGCCTTGGAGTAACGATTGATGACCAACTAAACTTCTCTGACCACATTTCTAGAACTGCTCGATCTTGCAGATTCACTCTCTATAACATCAGAAAGGTCCGACCCTTCCTATCTGAACATGCAGCTCAACTCCTTGTTCAAGCTCTTGTTTACTCCAGACTGGACTATTGCAACTCTCTACTAGCTGGGCTTCCAGCTAACTCTATTAAACCTCTTCAGCTGCTTCAGAACGCAGCAGTACGAGTGGTCTTTAATGAACCTAAAAGAGCACATGTCACTCCGCTGCTCATCCGTTTGCACTGGCTGTCAGTTGCTGCCCGCATCAAATTCAAGGCTCTGATGTTTGCTTACAAAGCGACTTCTGGATTTGCTCCTTCTTATCTGCTCTCACTTCTGCAGATGTATGTGCGCTCCAGAAACTTGCGTTCTGTGAATGAACGTCGCCTCGTGGTTCCATCCCAAAGAGGGAAGAAATCACTTTCCCGAACTTTCGCATTCAATCTGCCCAGTTGGTGGAATGAACTCCCTAACTGCATCAGAACGGCAGAGTCACTCGCTGTCTTCAAGAAACGACTAAAAACTCAACTATTTAGTCTCCACTTTCCTTACTAATCTGCAATTGCCTATCTGGCTCCACTGCTAACTGTATTACAAAAAAATTTAAATAAAAATACTATTGTTTTGCTACTTACACTTTACATACCTGAAACTTTCCTACAGCACTTATTCATTGTTGCTCTTATAGTTATGTAAATTGCTTCCTTCTCATTTGTAAGTCGCTTTGGATAAAAGTGTCTACTAAATGACTAAATGTAAATGTAAACACAACAACAATAGTAATTGATCTGTTGTGGTGATTATATAGTTGCCATGGTAACAACAACTATAATAATCGATCTGTTGTGGTGATTCTATAGTTGCTATGGCAACACAACAACAATAGTAATTTATCTGTTGTGGTGATTCTATAGTTGCTATGGTAACACAACAACAATAGTTGTTGATCTGTTGTGGTGATTCTATAGTCGCTGCGGTAACACAACAACTATAGTAATCGATCTGTTGTGGTGATTCTATAGTTGCTATGGTACCACAACAACTATAGTAATCGATCTGTTGTGGCGATTCTATAGTTGCTATGGTAACACAACAACAATAGTAATTGATCTTTTGTGGTGATTCAATAGTCACTGTGGTAACATAACAATCAAAGTAATTGATCTGTTGTGGTGATTCTGTAGTTGCTATGGTAACACAACTATAGTAATTGATCTGTCGTGGTGATTCTATGGTTGCTGCGGTAACACACTGACTATAGTAATTGATCTGTTGTGGTGATTCTATAGTCGCTATGGTAACACAACAACTCTACCAATTGACTTGTTGTGGTGATTCTATAGTCGCTATGGTAACACAACTATAGTAATTAATCTGCTGTGGTGATTTTATAGTTGCTATGGTAACACAACAACTATAGTAATTGATTTGTGGTTATTCTATAGTCACTATGGTAACACAACTATAGTAATTGATCTGTTGTGGTGATTTTATAGTTGCTATGGAAACACAACTGTAGTAATTGAACTGTTGTGGTGATTCTATAGTAGCTGCGGTAACACAACAACTATAGTAATTGATCTGTTGTGGTGATTCTATAGTTGCTGTTGTAACACAACAACTATACTAATATAAATAAATGAGCCAGTAGTTTTCTACAACTAGGGTCTATTTTACTACAAAACACCACAGTTCACTGTAGTAAAACTGAAGTATACTACAGTATTAAATACAGTTTATCAGATCACTATAGGCAGTTATACTCCATTCATTAACAGTTTTGTATATACTATAATATATACAGTATAATGCACTTTACTATTCTATGGTTTAAAAACAATAGCATTTACTTGAAAATACTATATTTTTTTCTCATGTGGGTATATGTGTGTTAGATGATAAGCACAGCTCAAATAAAGAACTGTAAATATAAGAGAAATAAATAATCACGATAACAAGTATTGACAAAAAGTTGCAGAAAATATAGCAACATGAATAAACAATGATGCTCGATATCAGTATGAATGTGTAATAATTACATATAATATCATATATGAATGATCATATACGTATGAATATAAATAATCCTATCTTGCAGGCTGTCCTTATGATCTGGAGTTCAGAGAAGTGAGACGTGACTCTCTGGTGCTGCTGTGGGCGGAGCCTCTTTACAAGGGACAATCAGAGATCACTGGCTATATAGTGGAGATCAGTGAGGGGGCGGAGTCTGAGGGTTGGACCCGCGTGACAAGAGAACTGGTGACAGAAACTCACCTAAAGGTCTGTTTTGTTCTGTTTTTCCCTTCTTGTGCAAAGTTCAGAATTTAATCATATGAATTGATGTGCAGTCTAATTTTGTTGTTTAATTTTAGTCTAATTTTCACAACACGAAACTTTATACAATTTTAAACTACGTAAAAACAATCATTACATTGCAAGTACAGGAATTAGTTAAGAATAAAATTGGTGTGTTTGATGAACATAATCAGAATAAAGACAGGAATTAAATTACTTTTGGCACATGTTATCAGAATATAGACTGCAGAAAAATGCAAGGTTTGCCATATATAATGGGAATATTAATTGAAATAAGACTGTGAAACTTGCTGCATATTAATGTAATATAGATGGGAATAAAATCAAACTTTTTGACATATTTAATCCAAATTTAGATTGGAATAAAAACGTAAAAATGTATAGTGTGGTCAGAATATTTGAATTGGAAGAAAAAAAAACTTTAAAGACGCATGTGATCACTATATAGATAGGAGTAAACTGCAATCAGATTATACACTCACTGGCCACTTTATTAGGTACACCTGTCCAATTGCTTGTTAACAAAAATTTCTAATCAGCCAATCACATGGCAGCAGTTATTTAGGCATGTAGACATGGTTGAAGACGATCTGCTGCAGTTCACACCGAGCATCAGAATGTGGAAGAAAGAGGATTTAAGTGACTTTGAACGTGGCATGGTTGTTGGTGCCAGACGGGCTGCTCTGAGTATTTCAGAAACTGCTGATCTACTGGGATTTTTACGCACGACCATATCTAGGGTTTACAGAGAATGCTTCGAAAAAGAGGAAATATCCATTGAGTGGCAGTTCTGTGGGCGCAAATGCCTTGTCAATACCAGAGGTCAGAGGAGAATGGCCAGACTGGTTCCGGCTGACAGAAAGGCAACAGTAACTCAAATAACCACTCGTTAAAACCGAGGTCTGCAGAAAAGCATCTCTGGACACAAAACACGTCCAATATGAGGATTAAGGGAGTTCTAAACGCAAAAGGGGGTCCAACCCTGTACTACTAAGGTGTGCCTAATTAAGTGGCCATTGAGTGTAATGATAATATAGATTGGAATAAAACTGTATAGTTTAGCGTATGCACTGTAGTCGCAATATAGATTAGAACAAAATATCTTTGGGTATGGTAAAATATAGATGGGGAAAAAAAAAAATGTTTGTAAAGTTGTACATAAAGTACAACTTTACATACAGCAAACAATACCATTTTATTCCCATCTATACTTTATGTACAACTTTACAGATGGGAATAAAATAGATGGTAATAAAATGATTAGAATTATTATTATTATTATTTATATAAAAATTAATTATTATTATTATTATTAAAAAATAATAATTATAGATGGGAATAAAATGGTATTGTTTGCTGTATGTAATAAGTACATAGATTGTAATAAAAGTGTAAAGTTTGGTGTGTAATCAGATTATAGATGGGGAACAATTTTAAGTTTGGTGTCTGTAATCAGAATATAGACAGGGGAAAAAATTATCATTTGACATATATAATAATATTAATAAATTAAATATTAAATTAATAAAGATTGTAATAAAAACAATATTTGTTGTATGTTATCAGAATAAAGATTGTAATAATACCATAAAGTTAGACTATGTAATCTGAATATAGATTAGAAAAAAAGTGTAAAGTTTGGTGTGTAATCAGATTATAGATTGGTTAAAAATGTAAAGTTTGTGCTATGTAATCAGAATGTATACAGGGAACAGAAAATGTCATTTGACATATGTATTCCTAATCAGATTGGAATAAAACTGTAACATTTGGTGTATAATCAGCATATAAATGAGGGGGGAAATGTAAAATTAAGTATGTAATCAGAAAATAGACAGGAATAAAATTGTATCATTTGATGTATGTAATCTTAATAAAGATTGCAATAAAACTGTAAAGTTTGACTTTGTAATCAGAATATAGATTGGAATAAAAGTGTAAAGTTTGGAGTTTGTAACTACAATATAGATTGGAATACAGTGGCGCCCCCAGAAAATGTTCTTATGAGTGGCCAGAAGATGCCACACCAAATCTTGGAGTAAAACATAATGAATTCAGTGTAATTCTATTTTTGTTTCTGGTAAATTAAATAATGTGGTTTTAATTCATTTAATTAATGACTCTTGAAATTTTGCAATTTATTCCTTGAAATAATTCAGCATGTGTCAAATAAAAATCAATATTTAGTTTAAAAACCCTTATATATAAATAACTTTTCAGTTCTTTTTCACATACTTTTATTGTACAGCATACAGTATATGCCATGTCTAAAATTAATGAAGATTAATTAATTAATTAATAAAACAAACAAATACAACAGTAACACAATAATAACTGTAGACACACACACACACACACACACTATACAGACCCTAATAACATAATTTATCCATATTCCTTTTTGAGCCACAATATTATTAACGCAGCTTCTTCTATTGATGTACCTTAAGGTAAATATTAAACTGCCATTGCTGTCTATTGAAGGTGTTTGCGTGCTGTCATCGACGATGGGGAGGGTCAGTGAATCCGCTATGGCACCAATCAATTAACAATAATTAGGTGGCTGCTATTTATTAATTTATTTATTGAAATATTGTGAATTTACGTAAGTACATTTAAATTAATAATATCTGAAGCAAATTCATATTGGGGTGGCCACAGGGTTGGCCAGAGTTTACACACGGCCACCCCTTGGGGGCGCCCCTGTTGGAATAAAGTATGTTAGGGTATGGTAAAAAATAGATGGAGAAATAAACTAATGTTTGTAAAGTTGAATATAATCAAAGTATAGATGCGAATAAAATAGTATTGTTTGCCATATGTACTAAGTATATAGGCTGTAATAAAACTTATTGTTTGGTGTGTAATCAGATTATAGATGGGGAAGAAATGTAAGTTTGACATATGTAATTAGAATATGGACAGGAAATAAATTGTATCGTTTGATCTATGTAATCTTAATATAGAGTGCAATATAATCATAAAGTTTGACATATGTAATCAGAATATAGACTGGAATAAAAGTGGGAAGTTTAAACAAAACATAGACTGAAATAAAGTTGTAAAGTTTGGCGTGTGTGTGGACAGATGATAAATAGGGAAAACTGAAACGTTTGGTGTTAATAATTCAAGTATTAATGAGAATAAAACAATATTGTGTGTGTTGCATGCAATAAGTGTGCAATTAGATTGGAAAAAACTGTGTGTGTGTGTGTGTGCGTGTGTGCGTGTGTGCGTGCGTGTGTGCGTGTGTGCGTGTGTGTGTGTGCGTGTGTGTGTGCGTGTGTATCAGAATATAGATACAGTTTATATAATTGACATCTTTCCATTCTTAAATGTCATTAAAATTCTTTCCATTAGTCTAAAAAATAAACATTATTCGAGTAACCCGGAATCTCTAAATTGACAATCACATGAAAAACAAAGAATTTTGATTGCAAAACAATAATAATATGAATAATAATAATATTAATTCAGCATGTAATAGTTACATTTGCGTCTGTTCCAGAAAAAGCTTTGAATGATGACTGAGCTGTTCTTGTGTGACTGATGGTCAGGTGTGTGATCTGCGCGCGGGTCAGATGTACCGTCTCCGTGTGTGTGCTGTTAATGATGCTGGAGTCGGCATGTGCTCGGTCCCGTCTGAGCCTGTCAGAGCACACACTAAAACAGGTCAGATCTGCATGATGATTACACTCTTCGTTTACAGACAACTGTTTTTACTTTACATTGTTAAAACATTATATCACAATAAATGTTTTTATGTTACTTTAAAAGGCACCTATTATGCAGAAATCACCTTTATAAGGGGTTTAAACACAGTTTTGTGGTGACAACCTATGAACATAACCAGCTTCTAATGGTAAACAATTAATTAATTCTGTTGTTTATGATCACACTTGATTAAATCAGTCTGCAGAAACACTTTGATTGACATTCCCCCTTTGTACGTGTCATCAGAGGGGGAAAGCCCCGCCCACTAGTGCCCATCTCTCCCTCATTAGCATAGGACATCAGTGCTGTTTTTGAATCTACCACTATGCTGAAACATAGGCCTTTGTAGCTCCGCCCTCTTTTGAAGAAAGCACAACCTCATTTGAATTTAAAGTGACAGTCACCAATACCGCATCAAGCCTAAAAGGGTCAAGTTTCAAAAAGTTATAAAACATTGTGTGTGATATTTTGAGCTGAAACTTCACACACACACACTTTAAGCACATCATAGACGCATTTTACATCTTGTAAAAAGGGGCATAATAGGTCACCTTTAACTTAATTTAATACATTAATCAGGTTTCAATAACCTTTTTTTAAGCTATACATGGTTTAACATAATATAATTAGGTAGTTTGACTGATTTAACTTGAGATGACTAGAAAAGTTAATGTAATCCAAATGCAGGAAGATTTTTTTACAGTGCAGCACATGTCTGCCAACAGGAACCAAAGAGATGGAGATCGGGGTTGATAATGACGGCTTCATATTCCTGAGTTTTGAAGCTCCTGATGGCACTGATGAAGGAGTCTTTAGTTGGAATAAAAACTATGGAAAAGCCATTGATGCCGGACGAGCCCGACTGGAGAACAAAAACAACAGGTCTTCTTTTATTGTCATTCATTCATTTTCAATCGGCTTAGTCCCTTTTTTTGTCAGCGGTCGCCACAGCGGAATGAACCGCCAACTATTCCAGCATATGTTTTGCATATGTTTTCCGCAACCCAGTTCTGGGAAACACCCATACACACTTATTCACACACACACAGACACTCACTACGGCCAATTTAGTTAATCAATTCACCTATAGCGCATGTGTTTGGACTGTGGGGGAAACCGAAGCACCCGGAGGAAACCCATGCCAACATGGGGAGAACATGCAAACTCCACACAGAAAGGTCAACTGACCCAGTTGGGACTCGAACCAGCAACCTTCTTGCTGTGAGACGACAGTGTTAACCACTGAACCACATTTTTTTAAATATTGTGATTATGATTATTATTCTTTTCCCAGAGATGGGTTGCTGCGTAAAAATGTGCTGGATAAGTTGGCGGTTCATTCCGTTGTGGCGACCCAGGATTTATAAAGGAACTAAGCCGAAAAGAAAAATAATTAATGAATGATTACTATTAGTTTATTATTATTATTATTATTATTATTATTATTATTAAGCAGATTCTTGAATAACAGTAAGCACATGACATGTGAAATGCATAGTATAGTCTGCTGGTTTTGAACATACAGAATAATAATGAAATACACTTACTGTAGGTTTACAACCAAAACATTACCCTTATGTCAACCTAAATCGACTCTACATTAAACATTTTTATTATATTTTATTTGTAAAAGATTTGTACAGGCACAAAGCAAAACGTTAGTATACAGTCTGTAATCATTATTATATAAATGATAACTAAGCAGAAAAACAGCTCTTTAGTTAACATTTCACGATATGAGAACTTTGTTAGTCATTTGTTTTGGAGGCATATATATTTTTGGTCACACTTTATGTTAAGGTACAATTCACACTATTAACAAACCAGTAACTAGCTCAATAAACTGGTGTAGTCCTTGCTATACGCACGTATACTCAGTATGCCTACTTTACTCCACAAGCTTTTTGGGTATTACCACTTCTGAGGATCAATAATTGCGTATACCCTTGGTATACTCACTTGTTTTGGTGATTAGACTTCCCTAATTTATGTGTGTTTGCGTCTCCTTTAACTGTCTAACAAATGTATTTTTTTAACTCGCATCTTAATTAGTTGCAACTGGTGCATTTGTTTAATTTGCGCCATTCCCCGCCCCCTGACGACTGCAGCAGCTGTGAGAACATTTCCTGAGAGTTTTTCAAAAATCACAACAAATCAACTGAATGATGTCTCGCTGAAACTTTCAAGTAAATCAAAAAACAGCAGGGGGCGTCCCTTTAGCACTTCTATATTTCCATTCGGCCCCCCTAAAACATTTTCATTATGTCATGAACTGTACATCCCCAAATGACCGCCTCAGTCCTCGTTAAAATTTTTATTTAAAAACGGCAGCAGACTTCCACTCCTCTGTTTACAACTTGTTTTTCATTCAGGGCCTACTCACACTATGCCATCCGTACCGTGCCCAGGCCCGTTTCCCGGATCGTTTGAGAAGTGTGAGTGCGCTGAATCGGGCTCAAGCACGGTTCACTTGGCCGGCCCTGGCCCGGTTGGAAGAGGTGGGCCTGAGCGCGGTTCACTTGGGCCCAAAACTGAAAGCGAGACGTGACTTTTAAGGGGCTGTTTCATATGGATTTATTAATCGTTCTTACTGTTCAGTGAACGCAAACTGCCGTAGTTTATTAAAGACGCAAACCTCTCACTGCACGACAGCTGCACCTTCAGCAGACCTCCTCATTCCTGCAGCACGAGAGCTTTATGATTGTTTATGAGCGCCAAAAGTGGCGGATCTGTTCGGCGAATTATCTGACTGTGTGTCCCCGCATACCTAAGGACTGTTTGGCGAAATATTTGACGGCATATCAAACGACTTATTAATAAATAGACGATTTATTAATAGTTATTAAGCTAGTAGTTGGGTTTAGGGATGTAGAATAAGATTGTGCTGGATATGTAATGTATACGTACTAAAAAACAGGCAATATCTTAATAATAAGCATGCTAATAAGCAAGTGTTATTATAATAAAGCTGATTCTGGTTTCTCCCAGGTCTGTTCTCACCTTCACAGCAGCGGCAGAGCAGGATTTAGGCCTGTACACAGCGGAGCTGAGTGGAAACCCTGACGTCTCCTCCAGTTTCACCTTCACTGCAGACGGTAGACGTTCGTTTCTAGCTCTGCATAATGCATCATCACCAGCAGAAGACCTTGTGCATCTGCTCTGCATGAAATCTTGATGCACAACTCGTCTTTTCTCACTGCGACCTCAGTGTTTTATCATCATCCGCCCGCTGATTAATGTTTCATCCAGCCACTTTGCCCTGAACCGTGTTGAACAAGATGTGTGTATTTTCACCCTGCACAAAGTGTGACGGATATATTGCAGGTGTAAATTCATTTCAGTCTTTATTTCTATAGCGCTTTTCACATTGTAAATTGTGTCAGAGCAGCTTAATATGGATGAAGAGAGTTGTGTATCATCGGCATAACAATAGAAACTAGCTTTTTAACGATGTCTTTTAAGGTTGCACAATATAAAAATCGATGTTTGCGATATTTACTGTGACTTGAATACCGTTTTTCCACATGACTTGAAATTTGGAAGGCCTTTTTTCTTATGTTAAAACTTTCCAGCTGGATCTAAACTCGTCACCCTTGCTAGCTCCTGATAATAATACATCAGTTTGTAATCTTGTATTACTGGAATTGTAACATTGAGATTGTTGCATAAATGAGCAATATCACACGAGTAGCTGTGCAATATGGCGGTATACGCTGCTACAAGTGTGATATCGCGTTTATACAACAGTTTGACGGCACAATCGCGTACATAAATAAGAAAATCAAACACGGAGAGTCTAAAAACCCCTTTTGTATTAGGAACTACTGTCTTCTGCCATTCATTCACACCCGCAGCTGACGTCAGAACAGCAGAATAGCTGTTACTAATTCACCAACGTCACTTTAGAGCTAGTGTTTGAATGACTCTCTAGCGTAATGTCTAAATTGATGACCAAACAGCTGATTTTGCTCACACTTTAGGATTATAAGGCTGAACGTGACATGAAATGCCATCCATCTACAGAGATATCTTCTTACAGTTTTACAGTCTACAGTATTTCTCTGTTGCAATCGGGATTTCACAATAATCAACCCCGGAAAAAACAACGCAATCACTACCAGACTGCTGTTGTGTTTGCGATTAGGAAAAACGCTAAACACGTGAGGACTTTGCTTATTTCAATCTGCCAACACAACACCCATTCCTGATATGCGAGCAAATCTGTATAAATACAGCACTACAACATACAAAAGAGAGAGAGATCGACTTAGAATGTCACTTACCAGCATACCTGCCAACATGCCTCTGAAAACTCAGGAGGCTGGGGGGTGGGGGGTGTTCGGTGGTGAGGTCTCTAAGGGTGCTTTCACACCTGCCTTATTTAGTTGGGTTGAATCACACTAGAAATCGTTTTCCTTCTTGGTGCGGTTGGTTTGGGCAGGTGTGAATGCAGCAGTCGTACTGGAGTGCGCACCAAAAGTGGACCAAATAAGCATACTGAGACCTGCTAGAAGAGGTGGTCTCGGTACACTTTCAAACGAACCCTCGAGTAATTCGTTTGTGATGAGAATATGATCCGAACTACAACAGACCCAACCGCAAAAAGTACTGCGCCTTTTGGACTAATCCGGCTGCCGTAGGCCGATGCGCTGTGCATTATGGGATATGGAGGAAAAATATTTGTTGACAGCGCTTTACCAACAGAGAGAGAGAGAGAAAAACATTAACGTTACCAGATGAATCGTTGGTAATATTTCCGCAAGATGACCATGTCGCAGTTTAGCTAAATTAATTCATGCCTCCTCCTGAAGTGACGTGCAATGCATTTAAACATTGTTTTCCAGCCGCGCTTCATTCTCGAAATGTATAGTTTGTCTAAAGCAGGGATACAATCAGTCAGCGCAGTCGTCCCTCCATAGTAAAAAGCGACATTTTGTGTCTGCCGGTTTGTTTACTTGCGGGAGTTCATTGGCATTTTCCCGCACGTGAATTCTGACCAATCAATAAGCAGTTTAGGAACGTTCGAGGTTACAGAAGTAACCCTTCGTTCCCCGAGGAGGGGAACGGAAGTGCCATGAATGGGAGGATTCGTATCAGAAGCCGCTTATCTGGAGAGTATTGAACGGGCCAATGAATGAAATTAATTGGCAGCGTAAGCTTGCGCAGGTGTGCGACATCTGCAATCATCTCAGCATATAAGCACACCTGAAGCCAGCAGACGCCATCCTTTTAAGCTGAAGAGACTTTCAAACAGCTAAGGGACAGTCATTATGGCGACGGAATATGGCACTTCCGTTCCCCTCCTCGGGGAACGAAGGGTTACTTCTGTAACCTCGAACGTTCCCCTTCGGTTGGGGAACTTCAGTGCCATGAATGGGAGAATATGGAAAGCGCCATAATGACTGCACCTTACCAACACCCCCGATGAGGAGATAGTCAAGCAAGCGTGACGCACCCACATCATGGGGGGCGCGGTCCTCCAACGTGTCCCTGGCCCTAATTTATCCTACTTCAACAGAAGTTCTACGGATTTAGATATATTTTTTGGGAAGTCGTGAGCATCTAGATAATTCTAGGAAATACGACAGTACGTTGGGAAGCGTGCAATCCCGATAGGGAGGACGCTGCGGAGGCCATCCGTTACCCAAGGGGGGGATAGATGGCAGAATTTACCTATGGACTAGCCCTAAAAAGGGGGAGTACGCATAGCAAAGAATGGTTAGCGGAGAGGGAAGACACGGGTCCGCCCAGGGGGGGGACTTAACCGTGGCGGAATAAGCATATGGGATCGCCTAGTGGGGATCACGCATAGCAGGCACCTATACCCAAAACGCGGGCTGACCAGCGGGCAGACCTACAACGTAGTGGGCCAGCAAGTGACTCCTCCGCTGAGTCAGTGCTGGGGGCCACGGAGGAATCTGCAGGGCTCACCTGACGGGGAACTTTACTGACAGATAAAAAAGGCGCACGTACCTCCGTGTTAGGGAGAATGGCGCAGCAAGCGTGTTTCAACACCCTACCGAGTTGTCTCCTCAATCACCAAAGGGTTACCTAATACCCTTGAGGAAACCGGCTCCACTCGCAGATTGTAAAACCTTGCAAATGTGTTGGGTGTCGCCCAGCCCGCAGCTCTACAGATGTCTGTTAGAGAGGCGCCGCGTGCACGCGCCCAAGAGGATGCAACGCTCCGAGTGGAGTGTGCACGTACTCCCGGGGGACACGGCTGACCTCGACTCGAATAAGCGAGTGAAATGGCATCCACAATCCAGTGGGATAATCTTTGTTTCGATACGGCACTTCCCTGCTGCCGACCGCCATAACAGACAAAGAGCTGCTCAGATGATCTAAAATTCTGAGTACGGTCCACATAAATGCGCAGAGCGCGAACTGGACAAAGTAAAGAAAGGGCTGGGTCTGCCTCCTCCGGGGGCAGCGCTTGCAGGTTCACTACCTGATCTCTAAAGGGGGTGGTAGGAACCTTGGGCACATAACCGGGGCGGGGTCTCAGGATAACGTGAGAGTAATCCGGCCCGAATTCCAGGCACGAGTCACTGACCGAAAATGCCTCCAGGTCCCCGACCCTCTTGATGGAGGCCAACGCAACCAGCAGAGCTGTCTTCAGGGACAGAAATCTTAGAGATACTGATTCGAGTGGCTCAAAGGGATCGGATCGCAGACTCGTGAGAACGAGGGCGAGATCCCAAGAGGGCATGAGAGGGGGGCGAGATGGATTAATTCGCCTAGCACCCCTAAGGAACTGGATGACCAGGTTATGCTTTCCCACGGTGCCGCCAGCTACCGCGCTATGATAAGCGGAGATGGCGGCCACGTAAACCTTGAGAGTGGAGGGCGACAGCCTGCTGTCCAACTTCTCTTGAAGGAAAGAGAGCACAACACTAATCTGGCAATTTCGGGGGTCTTCTCTGCGAGAGACGCACCATTCAGTGAATAGACTCCACTTCAGGGCGTAGGCGCGCCTCGTGGAGGGGGCTCTAGCCTGAGTGATGGTATTAACCACCGCAGTCGGTAGGTTACCTAAGTCTTCCTCGCGTCTAGGGACCACACGTGGAGGTTCCAAAGATCGGGGCGAGGGTGCCAGATGGTGCCCTGTCCCTGAGAGAGTAGGTCCTCTCTCAAAGGGATCCGCCAGGGGAGGGCCGTCGCGAGGAGTGAGAGCTCTGATATCCAGGTCCGGTTGGGCCAAAGGGGCGCAACTAGCAGAACCTGTTCCTCGTCCTCCCTGACCTTGCACAGAAACTGCGCGAGCAGGCTCACTGGGGGAAACGCATACTTGCGCATGCCCCGAGGCCAGCTGTGGGCCAGTGCATCCGTGCCGAGAGAGCCCTCGGTCAGGGAAAAAAACAACTGGCAGTGAGCGTTCTCGGGGGAAGCAAACAGATCGATCTGGGCCTCCCCGAATCGCGCCCATATCAGCTGAACAGACTCGGGGTGGAGTCTCCATTCTCCAGGGCGTAACAGCTGTCGTGAGAGCGCATCGGCTGCACGATTGAGCGTGCCTGGGACGTGAATGGCGCGCATCGATTTCAGCCGCGGGTGACTCCAGAGGAGCAGACGGCGGGCGAGCTGAGACATGCGGCGAGAGCGCATACCCCCCATGCGGTTGATATACGCCGCCGCCGCCGTACTGTCCGTCCTGACCAGCACGTGTTGCCGCTCCAGCACCGGTAAAAAGCGGTGGAGAGCGAGGAACACTGCCAACAGCTCTAGGCGATTGATATGCCAATGCAGCTGGGCACCCTTCCAGAGGCCCGCAGCCGCATGCCCGCGACACACGGCCCCCCAACCCGTGTTGGAAGCGTCTGTTGAAACAACAACATGGCTGGACGCCTGTCCTAGAGGCACACCGGCCTGTAGGAACGAGGGGTCGTTCCAAGGGCTGAGGGCGCGGCGACACAGCGCAGTAACCGAGACCCGGTGTGTGCCCGCGTGCCATGCGCGTCTGGGGACCCGATCGTGAAGCCAGTGCTGAAGTGGTCTCATATGGAGCAACCCGAGCGGCGTGACGGCGGCTGCGGATGCCATATGCCCCAGGAGCCTCTGAAAGAACTTCAGTGGGACCACTAGTTTGCTGTCGAGCTCCCTCAGACAGTTCAGCAACAGGCGAGCGCGTTCCTCGGAGAGGTGCGCTACCATGGTGATCGAGTCCAGCTCCATCCCGAGAAAAGAAATCCTCTGCACGGGGGCGAGTTTGCTCTTTTCTCGGTTGACCTGAAGCCCCAGTAGGCGGAGATGCCGAAGCACCTCGTCCCTGTGCACAATCAATTGCTCCCGCGAGTGGGCTAAAATCAGCCAGTCGTCGAGATAACTGAGTATGCGAATGCCCGCGAGCCGAAGGGGCGCTAGGGCACCCTCCGCGAGTTTGGTGAAGACCCGCGGAGACAGAGAGAGCCCGAAGGGGAGGACCTTGTACTGCCACGCTCGACCCTCGAACGCAAACCGCAGAAATTGGCGGTGGCGTGGAAGAATGGAGACATGGAAATACGCGTCCTTCAGGTCTATGGCTGCAAACCAATCCCGAGGACGAACGCATTGGAGAATGCGCCTCTGCGTGAGCATTCTGAACGGCAGCTTGTGCAGACAGCGGTTCAAAACGCGCAGATCTAGGATTGGCCGTGACCCACCGCTCTTTTTGGGTACGATGAAGTATGGGCTGTAAAACCCACTCTCCATCTCGGCTGGAGGAACCGGCTCGATTGCACCCTTCGCCAGGAGGGCAGCAATCTCCTCTCGCAAGACAGGGGCGGACAGGGGGTTGACCCTGGAGAAATACACGCCCGTAAACTTGGGGGGCCGTTTCGCGAACTGAATCGCGTAACCGAGTCTGATTGTGCGTATGAGCCACCGCGAGGGGCTGGCCCGCGCTAACCAGGCAGGCAGAGCCCTCGCTAATGGAGTCATCGCTACAATCGCTGACGTACCAGCGGTGGGGCAGCGCGGAGTGGGTGTGCTGATCCGGGAAGCACGAGGGTCCCGCGGAAAAGCTGGAGGAGAGCGATTCGCTCTGGCTCCGCACCCTGACTCCGGAGAGGGGGCTGGAGGGCTGAGGGAAGGGAGACCGTCCCCCCAGCGCTCGTGAGCCACTGGCGAAGCACGTAGAGTCTGCGAGCCGGAAGGCAGCGCGTCCCGGACTGGCAGAACTCGTGCAGTCACATCCGGGGAAGGGAAAAAGTGCTCTTTTACTGATGTTTTGGTGGCACTGAAAAGTACCGTTGTTATCGGGGCCCCGCCCTCCAGCGGGGAAAGAGCAAGTTTCCTCTTCTCCGGATGGCCTGTCTCAGGGACGCTTCGCGGTCCGTTTACCGGACTTAACGGCGCCCTGGGCAGGAGGGGCTGCCTGCTTTCGAGGTGAACGCCGCGCCCGCTTGGCCGGAGGCGCAGGCGGGGGCGGGGCAGCACTCGTTGGCGGGCGCCCTCGGCGAGGAACAGCGGAGGTGGATGGCTCGGCGGGCGGAGCGGGTTTACGGCCACGCCGATAGATGACATTGCCCATCGCATCCGACTGCTCTTTCACCGCCTTGAATTCCTGGGTGAATTCACCGACGGTGTCGCCGAACAGGCCAGCCTGGGATATGGGCGAGTCAAGAAAGCGAACTTTGTCAACGTCGCGCATATCGGCCAGGTTTAGCCAGAGGTGGCGTTCCTGAACCACAAGTGTGGACATCGTCCTCCCCAGCGCACACGCGGCGGACTTAGTAGTCCGAAGAGCATAGTCGGTCGCGGTGCGCAGCTCATGTAATAAGCTTGGGTTGGACCCGCCCTCGTGCAGCTCGGCCAGCGCCTGCGCTTGGTAGCGCTGGTAGGTGGCCATCGCGTGCAAAGCAGAAGCAGCCTGGCCCGCAGCCTTATAAGCTCTGGCTCCGAGGGAGGCAGACAACCTACAGGCTTTGGACGGGAGGCGGGGCAAACCCCGCCACGTAGAGGCGCCGCGCGGACAAAGATTGACCGCGATAGCGCGCTCCACTGACGGGATCGCCTCATACCCCCTGGCAGCTCCGCCGTCAAGGGCGGTGAGGGCGGAGGCACTCGCAGCACGGGCAGAGAAAGGTGCCCTCCAGGACTGCGTGAGCCTACTGTGCACTTCCGGGAAGAAGGGGACGAGAGGCTTCGAAGGCTTCGCCTTCTGGTCCTCTACGTAGCACCCATCTAGTCGGTCCGGCCGCGGAGCTGGGGGATAAACCATCTCCAACCCCACGGCCGAAGCAGCCCGGGAAAGCACGGCTAACATGTCCGCTTCAGGATCCGATTTGACAGCGCTCACCTGCCCGGAGGGGGCGAGCGGGTCCGGATCTTCGTCGGACAGTGAAAGCCCACCCTCCGATGCCGCGGAGGACATCTGATCTCCGGTGTCAGCGATTGTGAGAGCTACCATCTGGTTAGACGGATCACTCTCACCACCCGAAGCTTGGATGGAGCGCCGTGAGGAGCGAGAGGTCCGCGAGCCCGTGGGCGGCGGATTAGCTCCCGCTGAAACCCTCAGATCTGCCCGAGCGCCCGCTGCTTTTTTAGAACAGGAGGCAACTGGGGTGGCTCGCTCTCTTGCGAAAGTTAGCCGCGATCTTAGCTGTGCAACGGTCATGGCATCGCAATGACGACATGAACCGCCCGCGAGCACCGCATTAACATGCTGGACCCCCAAACATGCAATGCAGTGATCGTGTCCATCATCCGGAGACAGGAAACCCCCGCATCCAGAAACGCACAGTCGGAGCGCCATCCTGAAAAGGACGTGCTGCACGACTGTGTTGCTCTTTTAGGAAAGTTGCAACTATACGCACCGCTCTGGAGGACCGGACCCAAAGAACCGCAGGCAAGGGAGTAACCCAGCTCGACCGTCTGCCACCGCGAAGACCCACTCTGGACCGGGAGACACACTCGTTCGCTCTGAAGTGCTGATCAGCAAGAGGAACCCTCATCGACTCACTCAGAAAGGATCTGAAGCGAAAAGGATGGCGTCTGCTGGCTTCAGGTGTGCTTATATGCTGAGATGATTGCAGATGTCGCACACCTGCGCAAGCTTACGCTGCCAATTAATTTCATTCATTGGCCCGTTCAATACTCTCCAGATAAGCGGCTTCTGATACGAATCCTCCCATTCATGGCACTGAAGTTCCCCAACCGAAGGGGAACCACGTTCAACAACATCTGGCCAATGAGAGATGTGGATTTTGTCAGATGACTGCATTTTGGTTCTTTTCAACTGGTTCGGACCAAAGCCAACAGTGTGATGTGAAAACGACCCAAAGACGGCAGAAGATGCAACAATGTATCATTTATTGCCCTTGGTACGGACCAAATGAAGCGAACTACAGATATGAAAGCACCCTAAATAACACTGTTGAGAACCGGGACAGGATGCAGCGGGTTTTGGGCAGCCGCTGTGATCGGGTACTGTACCAAAGTCGGCAATCCGGGGGTGTTTACAGACTGTACCAAAGAGGGGGGTGGGTGAAATCACGGAAGAAATAAAAAACTAGATGGTTGCGAGAGATTGGTCTGAAATACGGGATACTCCCATGAAAAACGGGAGTGTTTGCTGGTATTGCTTACCAGTTTAATAATGATTTGATCAGCTGTAGTTAGAAATCAGACTGTTATATCTTCTAAGCGTAAGGGCTTATTATGCCGTTCTGTCGCCATCTTGTGGATAGAAAACGTCAACCGTCTTTGGTCTAATATACTTTGACAGGCTATTGGCCGCCGACGAGCTCTCTGAAATTGTAAATACTTTAAAATAGGCACTATTCTTACAAATAACCTGCATAGTTGCAATCTAAACAATTACATTCTCGACTAAAAAAGCCTCAAATGTACATTTTGCTGTCTAACAGCAGTAATATTTGTCAAACTGTAGTGTCTGTCCGCTTGTTGCTGTCTGTATGTGGGCGGAGTAATACACAAAGGTGAAGGGTGAAGAGACCTTTGTGTGATGTTACTGGCAAAATATAGCACAGCTATCAGCCAATCAGATTCAACAACCAGACCGAACTGTTGTATAAATGTAGACATCTCCCCCACATTATATGTGTAATTGGGTTTTATTTTATTGTATTATTATTTTCATTTTTTATTATTTTTTGTATTTATATATTTTTTCTTATATTATTCCTATAAGGGTTGTTTGATATGTTTTTAAAATGTATAAATGGTAAATAAATCAAACAAAAAAAAGAGTCTTAATGACAGCTAGTTTAAAGGTTTTAGGCACATAACCTAAACGTAGGGATGAGTTCAAAATGTTTCTCTTGCAGCTTCTAAGAACACTTGTTTTAATAATATGTTCGGTGTAGGATCTAACACAGATGTTGTTGAACCAAAAATAAATTTTCTAGGGTGTCAAATGCAGCAGGATTAAGTTAAAATCTTATTTGCAAAGATGTCAGAGCGCTCTGACAGCATCTTGATGGTGTAGACAGACACGAGAGATTGAGTTTGACTTTGCATTTGTGCTGTTTTTATTTTTAGATCTGGAGAGGCTGACAGAACTCAGCTGGCACATCAGAAACCCCTGTAAGTCAATCACATGCATGTCAGAAACTGTTCAGGGAAGCTAAAGCATGAGTTTGGGGTCTGTAAGAAGGATCACAAATACTGCAAACCAAGCTGTAAAAATGTGAAATGTTATTTTAATTAAAAATCAGTGTGCTTCAGTTAAGTATATCATATAGTGTAAATTATTCCTGTGATGTTAAGCTAATTTTTAGCACCATTACTGTGGTATTCACTGTAAAAAATGCTGGGTTTCACAAAATGAATTAGTAATGGGACAGCATGAAGGATTGTTCATTCATTCAACATTCTATAGAAAATATTGCATTAAAAGTGCATTATTAATCTAAAAATTCAGCGAGCCCAATCGCTTTCAGTGAACTGTCTTTCCATTACAAAATCGCCAAGTGTAAAATCTGATTTCTTAAAAAAAAAATCAGTGATCTTCACTGGTCTATATGCACAGTTAGTGTTTTCAGCCAACGATAAACTTCAGGTGAAAGGTTGATGTGACTTTATTTAATTTCATAAGGTTCCTTTTACAGCGTGGATGTTGCAATGTTGCAATAAATAGACTTAAGCAATCATTTAGTTGAAGCATTAAAAAAAAATTTCATTATTAGGGACCGAGCACGGTGCATAGGCCCTATTGGAATTGCTCTGTTTATCATTATTATTCTGCTTGTTCTGCGGAATGAATTGCGATTTTCAGGATCTAAACGTGCCCAAAATTTCACAAAACTTTGCACACGCCCTCTAAATGGCAAAAATTTACGTTCGTTCTAGGTTTTGGAAGTGGGCGTGGCAAAATGACTTGACAACGCCACCTATGCACATTTGGCAGACTGGCCCCCAAGCTACAAGTCAAGCACACGTACGAAAATTGGCAAACACCTTAAAAATGCCAAAACCTACGAAAAAAAAAGTACCTTGGGGCAAAATCTTAAACCCAACAGGAAGTCAGATTTTTTAGCAGGACTTCTTGCTCCGAAAAACTGGCGTTTTTGCCATTTCCAGGTGTTGTATTTTAACTTTATTAAATGACTATTATTATTATCAACACCAAAATTGGGTTTTGTCATCTAAAGGCCTTGGCGATGTTAAATTGCGAAGATCTAGAGTTTTTGCCAAAAGGCATGTCTGTGGTGGCCTCGCAAACTTTGACGATTCGCCACGAAACAGAAAGTTATTACACCTCAGGCATGCATTATCCAATCTGCCTGAAAATGTACACATTTTATAAGAGTCCTGATCTGAACACGTTTACATGCCAATATACAGTTACAGTTATAGCGCCATTTGCTGGCAACAGGAAATGACATGTTTTACATTGTAACGAACTCCTCCCACAAATTTGGGTGGTGTTATCTGAAACCTCAAGCTATATATTTATATTCAATCTATATATTCACATGTTCAATCTAGATTTTTCACCGAAGGAGGTGTTTGTGGTGGCCTCTGAAACTTCGAGTTCGCCACGAAACAGAAAGCTTCGTGATATGAACCTGAACACGTTTAAGTGTCAATATCCAGTTACAGTTATAGCGCCACCTGCTGACAACAAGAAATTACTTATAACTCACCCAAACAATGTCCAATCAGCCTGAAAATTCACGTTCAATAAGATTCCTCTTCTGAAGACATTTACATGCCGATAATGAGTCACAGTTATAGCGCCACCTGCTGACAAGAGGAAGTTTGGTATCAGAAATCTGTGTTTCTCTCTGGTTTTCTATATATATCGGCTTGAATTATTACTGTCCTCTGTTTTCTGTCATCTGTTTTCTGTCATCTCCGGTCCCTTTCATCTTTCAACACGCACCCAAAACCCAGAGTGTCCACTTTCGCTCCTCTTCAAACATGTGTACAGAATCCGCTTGGAATACAGCATCTATTAATCACTATGGAGCGCATCTGACAGTCACGCACCGCTAACTATATGAACTGACTGTGTTGAGGATTGCATAGGAGGGGCGATGGCACCTGTAATGGAAAGGAAGGGAATCCCGCCATTTTTATATTTATTTCAATGTGTTTTCATGCCTAAATAAAATGAAAGCTCAAAGCATTGTGAATCACTGCCTGATAGATATATTTTAAAAAGTAATTCTCAGACTGTTCACATTTTTCCAAGCATGACATTTTATTTCACCACAGTATTTTCAGTGAGTTTTTGCACTCGCCTGCTGATTCTGACAACACTTGTGTTTAAACGGTGTTTCCTCTCATTTAATGCTTCAACAAATAATTGAACACTTAAGTCTGTTTAACTGATTATATTTTAATTACATTACAGCATCCATGCTGTAAAAAGGAACCTTATGAAAGTAAAAATACTCACATAAACCTTTCACCAGAAGTTTATCGTCGGCTGAAAACACTAGCTGTGCATAAAGCCCATTGAACAGCTAGTCATCATCAGTTATTCCTCACTGTTGTGTCGTGTGTTCGTGTGTGTCAGTGATCGGTTTGCGCTCTGAGGGCTGGCAGGTGGAGGTGTCAGAGCAGGGATCGGTGCGTCTGTGGCTGCAGACTGAAGCTCTTAGCAGTGCTGCGGTGCTTCGGCTCATCCTGAATGACAGAGAGATCTCCAGCACACCGGTGACTTTCACACACTTCTGCTATTGTGCCTAAGGGCCAGAGCTTGCTTGCATGAAAGTCCTTAAAGTCTGCATCCAGGCTGCAACCATTTTAATTTTCATATTGTGATGCAGTTCCTATAGAGAAACAGAATATTAAATGAGGAAACAGTGGGTGTGGCTTGATTTTCCTACTGCAAGCTGATTGGATGTAGTAAAGTAGGCGTTTAATTCAGAAAGATGGGGAAAGGGTTTGGGGAGAGTTTTTACAACCTAACAGACTCCTCCTGCTCACCATTTCTGTTTGTTGTCTAAACAGACAGATGAAGGGGCGTGGTTAGGTATGTTAGCCACGCCCAATGCCCTTAGACAGACCTAATCTGAGAGTTTAACTGGAAAACAAACAGGAAATGCATTTTCAGATTGCAATTATAGATTACAAGGGCAAACTATTTGTTATTTCTTAATGACATGCATGTGAGCTAACAAAATCAATACGGTTAGTTTGGACACCTTTGTCCCCTGACAGGGGTTTGTTCTGTAGACAATCCAAATCAAATATTGCTTAAGGGGGCTAATAATATTGAGGTGAAAAAATGTAAAACTGCTTTTATTCTAGCTGAAATCAAACCAATAAGACTTTCTCCAGAAGAAAAAATATTACATGAAATACTGTGAAGAATTCCTCGCTCTGTTAAACATCATTTAGGAAATAAATGAAAAAGAAAAAAAAATGTACAGGAGGGCGAATAATTCTGACTTCATCTGTACATGTGTCGCAGACTCGCAAGATCAACTTTGACAAGGCGCAGGGTTTGGTGGAGATCCTGATTGAGCAGATCTCAGAAGAGGACGAGGGCTCGTACACCGCGCAGCTCAAAGACGGACGCGCCAAAAACCAGTTCACACTCGTGTTTGTGGATAAGAGTATGTTATGACGCTTCATTACACTCATCTACAGAGCTGCTCTAGAGGGAAATCTGATTTAAACCTTGTGTGCTGTTGGGGATGTTTTCATCCACTCTGGGCTGATTTTGAGGCTTAATTTTGCCACAACTTTCACTGTGTTTCAGTAAATGGAATGATTTTTGGTGACAAATCTTATCTTGACACATATTTTAGGCTTAAAAACTAAACTTAACAACACACTCTGGGCAAATGTACTCCCCTTTGGTTATGTTGGTGTCTGCAGTGGCGTAGCGGACGGGCCCGCAGGGCACGCACCGCGGGGGGGCCCCGCGTGATTAGGGGGCCCCGCGTCGTCGCGATTTTCAATAAACTGTTGGGAACAACTATGGTCGGAACCAAAGTTCACACGTCTGTGTTCTCTGAACACCTCTCAAGCGGTGGACTACTTCATTCTGATTGCTTGCCGCCAATGTTGCCAACTTAGCGACTTTGTCACTAGATTTAGCTACTTTTCAGACCCCCCTAGCGACAAATCTAGCGACTTTTTTGTGTGTTATTGGAGTTTTTTTAGACTGTCATTTTTCCATACCGTACCGTCTCTACTCTTCTCAACGAGCTGCGTGTGAATCCGCCGGCCCCTCCCCCACCTCACAGCACTGACTGGCGGCCCAGTCAGTCCTCTACAGCAGCCTCTCCCACCTGCAGCCCGAGGGCAGATCACCCCTCTGCGTACCGACGACAAATGATTTAGCACAGGCAGTGTGAAGGTATTTCCCTTGTACAGTCAAACCGATCTACTTCTCCTTTATTTTAACAATTTACTTGGACCGTTTATTCTTTTCTTGTTCACAATCACAGATATTTTAGTGACAGTTTCTGAACTTGTCTGAGTTTATTTCATATGAGAGATTACTGCACATTCACTAACGTTACACATCTATAATGATATACTGTATTCAAACAGCAATACATTTAGTTAAATAAACATGCTTATATAAAGTGTAGTGCAATTATAAATACCCCTTTATTAACCATAGGCTGGTAAACAGAAACGGTAGAACGTGATGACGTCAGTGATATGCAAATTGACGTATGACGTATCCAACCCCCCCCCCCCCCCCCCCTCATCATGGGGCCCCGTCAGCGATCCCTGCAGGGGGGCCTCCGCATTTTGCGCTACGCCACTGGGTGTCTGTTTTTGCCCCATTGACTTTCATCAAAATCACTTTTTTTATTGCAAAGCAATGACGGCATATAATCATGTGTTCTTGATTGTTGGTGGTTTTTCCTGTTGGGAAGAGGTAAAATTTGTACATTTTGCTCCTGACCATTAGTTACATTGCGAAACAAGTTTAGTTTCTGACTTTTATATGGAGTAGGAAAGCCAGCAGCAGTCAAGAATGCATGAGTATATGCTGTGATGGCTTTGCAATCAAAAAATGTGATTATAATGCAAGTCAATAGGGCAAAAACAGCACCAACATAAAGAAAGGGTCGTGAATTTGATCAATGGGGATAAATAAATTAACTATTTGAAGTGATGAGTGGAAAACATCTTGATTTGTTTTATTAATTGTGGTAAACTTCAGTGTGAGCATCTGTTTCTGCCTTTGGATTGGCTTCTTTTCTGCGGATGTTCGTTTGACGCTTCAGACACAATGTTCTTAGCCACACCTATGAGAGAATGATGTGCAAAAGAAAGCCCCTCCCCCTACTCAATATTCGGTTACAGTTGAAAATACACACTGAAAAAAAAATGTCTCAGCAACTTCAGGTTAACAAACAATATAAAGTGAAGATAATAAGCAGAAATGTTTCTTCAGCATTAAATGATCATATTATAATGATTTCTGAGGGATCATGTGATGATAAAGACTGGGATTAATTCAGCTTTGAATTATGGGAATAAATGACGTTACACACAAAACAGCTATATCATAATAAATTGTAATATATATATATATATATATATATATATATATATATATATATATATATATATATATATATATATAATAGATTGTAATAATTAAATTGCAATAATTATTATATTATATCCATCTTTTGGATGAGATGTTAAACCGAGGTCCTGACTTTCTGTGATCATTAAAAATCCCATGTCACTACTCGTAAAGAGCAGGGGTGTAACCCCGGTGTCCTGGCCAAATTCTCTTCATTTTCCCTTACCCATCATGACCTCCTAATCATCCCCATAGACTGAATTGAGTCTATCACTGTCACTTCACTCCCCTAATGGCTGGTGTGTGGTGACCGCACTGGCGCCGTTGTCCTGTGGCTGCCGCCGCATCATCCAAGTGGATGCCATACACTGGTGGTGTGGAGAGACCCCCCCTCATGATTGTGAAGCACTTTGGGTCTATATACACAATAAATGCACTATATAAATACACATTACTCACGTACTTACTTACTATATTATATTGTAATAATTAAAAAGGCAAAAGGCAAAAAAAGTATAAAACCACTTGAAATATAGAATATATGAGTATTGTAGTTATTTTGACCATTGTCAATTTAGTAACTTTAAAAAAAAAAATTCTTTAAATATTTCTTTACATTTTATTTTAACAACGTTTTAATTTGAGGAAATGTCATCAGTAGTTTAAAGAATGTTTATGAAACTTTATGTAATTATTTGGGTTTTGTTTCTGTATTTTCAGATTTATCAACTTCAGGAAGGTTAATTTTAGGAAATGTTTTTGTACAAGTTGTTGTTGTGGTTTTTGTTGTTGCAGTTGTTTACATGTTTTTTTAAAAACGTCCATATAAAAATAGAAAAAGATATTAAGGATATTAAGTCAGTTTATATCATGATTGGTATGAATGAAAACAAAATGAACTTCATTCATTTTCCTTCAGCTTGGTTTCTGACTTATCAGAGGTCGCCACAGTGGAATGAACCGCCAACTTTTCCGCCATATGTTTTACACAGTGAATTCCCTTCCAGCCGCAAACCAGTACTGGAAAACAGCCATACACACTCATTCACACACAAACTCATACACTACAGCCAACTTAGTTTGTTTAATTCCCCTATAGTACATGTGTTTGGGGAGAAACCGGAGGAAGCCCACACCAACACAGGGAGAACATGCAAACTCCACACAGAAATTTCAACTGGCCCGGCCGGGATTCAAACCAGTGACTTTTTTGCTGTGAGGCAACATTGCTAACCACTGAGCCACCATGACACCCTACATAATGAACTTTTAAATATTTATTATTCCTTTTACTGACACATTCTTCATTTCCAGTATGAATAATATGATTATACATTGTATTTGTCCCCAGATTTAATCTTTATTCCTCTCTCTGGTTGTTTCTCAGAGTTTAAGGAGACACTGGCCAGATCTCAGGCCAACAGAAAGAACTGGAAGAGAAAGTCAGGTGAGTGAACACACACACACACACACACACACACACACACACACACAGATGCAGAGATCAGCAGATCAGCGTCTCACACTACTGTCATCTTTCTGAATCAATGAGGATTTTCTCTTTCTAAGGTCCACATTTTGAGGAGTTTCTGTCATGGACTGTGACCTCAGACTGTGATATGATCATGAAGTGCAAGGTAATGATGTGTTTGTGTGTGTACTGGTTTATCTATACCTGTGAGGACTCTATTGTCCTCACCTACATAATGAAATATGAAAACGGCTCACTACTAAGGACATTTTACTTGTCCTTGCTAATAAAAAAGTGTCAATTTGTATATTTTACACTTGAGCTCATGAGTATTTTTAAATAATATTAAATGATTGTGTAGAATGTGTGTAGTTTGTTGTGAGGACCGATTGTCCCTTCAAGTAAAGTAATGATAGTAACTTCTGACATTGTGGGGACCTTTTACAGCAGCGGTGGCCAATCCTGTTCCTGGAGATCTACCTTCCTGCAGATTTCAGTTGCAACCCTTATCAAACACACCTGTCTGTAATTATCAAGTGGATTTCAGGTCCTAATTAATTGGTTCAGGTGGGTTTGATCAGGGTAGGAACTAAACTGTACAAGAAGGTAGATCTCCAGGAACAGGATTGAGCACCCCTGTTTTACAGTATGTGTACAGTAGAACTCTCTATTTCTAAAGCGCTTTTACAATGTAGATTGTGTTAAAGCAGCTTAACATAGCCGTAGAAAAACATCCCTATAAAACATGAAAACTTAATGTGTAATGTGTGTGTGTGTGTGTGTGTTCGCCTGCAGGTCACCAACACGAGTAAAGACACACGTCTGAAGTGGTTTAAGGATGGAGTGGAGCTTCCTCAGGCTGTGTTTGAGCCCTCGGGTGTCAGTACACTCACCATATCACAGGTACATTCAAACCAAAGACACGCACACTAGACCTCAGATCACATGCAGGACACAAACACTCAAAACAGACCCTCTATTATTGACTTGTTTCTGGTAACAGTCTGGTAGATCCTTTTCTTCTTTGGTCTGGAGCACATGGCATCCATTTCTCCCCCAAAATTCATCTGACCACAGTAAACGTTTCCACTGTGTGATGGTTTATCCCGGATGCCTCAGAGCCCAGAGAAGTTGAAGGCACTTCTGGACACTGTTAACATAGGGCTTCCTTTTGGCACAATAGAGTTTTCACTGGCATTTGTGGATATAACTACATATTGTGGTACTTACAAAGGTTTGCCAAAGTAGTCCTAAGCCCATGTGGGGATCTGGCTTGTAGATGAATGAGGATTCTTGATGCAGCGCCACCTGAGGAGTCAGAGATCACGGTTGTTCAGTTTAGGCTTGCGCCCTTGTGCTTTCCTCACTGAAATTCCTCCAGATTCCTTCAATCATTTAATGATGTTATGTACTGTTGAATGTGAAATATCCAAATGTCTTCCTATCGTTCTTTGAGAAACATTTCAGTAATTTTCTCATTTATTTGTTGGCAAACTGGCGATCCTCAGCCCATCTTTGCTCCTAAAGGACTAGACCTTTCTTGGATGCTGCTTTTGTAATAATCATAATTACAATCACCTGTTGACATCACCAGTTTCACATCACATCATTCTTTCACCAATTCACCTGATTACTAGTCCTAAACTGCTCCTGTCACAACTGTTTGTCTGAATGACAGGAAAGATAAATTTACAAATGAAATGAATTTGACCAGACATAAATGATTTTGTGTTCATATTGTCTGCAATGAAACACAAGTCAAAGTAAATTTAGAAATCACTTTATTTTTTATTTGGGTTTTCCATACTGTCCCTCTTTTTTCTGATTTGGGGTTGTATAATGTGTCAGGTGACCAGGAAGGAGTTGGGGGTGTACAGAGCTGTAGTGAGTGACAGCAGAGGAGAAGACGACACTATCCTGGAGCTGATAGATGATGGTAAGGATTATTACTGTTGAATACATGGCTGTCTGGAATATTTGATTTTGATTGGACATTCTTGACATGTTAGGGAGGATGTTATTGCAGAATAAAGCCTGACAGTTTTATCAGCAGCCTGACGCAAAGTGGAGTACTGTTGTGTAAGACTGAAGAGTTGATTCTGAGAAAACCCTGTTCTGGTTGTTCTTTATCCTGCTTAGTACATGGCTACTTGCCAGAAAACACAAAAATTAGACACACAAAACATTGTTCTCAGCCGTAATAGCAACGAAAACAGCTGATGGAGTATACACTAACCTGCTCATTATTCAGTCACAAGATTGCACTAAACAGTCAAAAATACAAAGCTGACAGAAACTAAAACAGCTGATGGAGTATACACTAACCTGCACATTATTCAGACCCAAGATGGCGCCAAACAGTCAAAAATACAAAGCTGACAGAAACTAAAACAGCTGATGGAGTATACACTAACCTGCGCATTATTCAGACACAAGATGGCGCCAAACAGTCAAAAACACAAAGCTGACAGAAACTAAAACAGCTGATGGAGTATACACTAACCTGCACATTAGTCAGACACAAGATGGCGCCAAACAGTCAAAAATACAAAGCTGACAGAAACTAAAACAGCTGATGGAGTATACACTAACCTGCGCATTATTCAGACACAAGATGGCGCCAAACAGTCAAAAACACAAAGCTGACAGAAACTAAAACAGCTGATGGAGTATACACTAACCTGCGCATTACTTAGACACAAGATGGCGCCAAACAGTCAAAAATACAAAGTTGACAGAAACTAAAACAGCTGATGGAGTATACACTAACCTGCACATTAGTCAGACACAAGATGGCGCCAAACAGTCAAAAATACAAAGTTGACAGAAACTAAAACAGCTGATGGAGTATACACTAACCTGCACATTATTCAGACACAAGATGGCGCCAAACAGTCAAAAATACAAAGTTGACAGAAACTTAAACAGCTGATGGAGTATACACTAACCTGCACATTAGTCAGACACAAGATGGCGCCAAACAGTCAAAAATACAAAGCTGACAGAAACTAAAACAGCTGATGGAGTATACACTAACCTGCGCATTATTCAGACACAAGATGGCGCCAAACAGTCAAAAACACAAAGATGACAGAAACGAAAACAGCTGATGGAGTATACACTAATCTGCACATTATTCAGTGGTTGTTATCTGGGAATAACATACATCAGAATGTAATGACTGACCAGTCAAGAATCGAGTATTTCAGACAGCAGTGTAATAAAGGATAAAGTACATCCAGGTGGTTATTATCGTGGAATGTTCTAATTTCTGTAATTCTGTAATTAATTTCTCTAAGCTTTGTCTTTAATTAAAGAGTGAATAAACTATTACGCCTCAGAATTTGTATGTTTTTTTGTCAAGTAACCATATAAAAAGTGGGACAAAGAACATCTAGCTGGTTGTTTTCGCAGAATAAAGCTTAAATAATAATAATAAAGCATTGCATAAGACCAATTCATGTAAGTCTTATACAACAGTGCTTATTGTCGGGCCAGTATATTTTTTTCACACAGGGCTATGTAGTTTTGTATTTTGTTTTCCCTTAATAATAAAAACCTTTATTTTAAAACTGCATACTTTAATTGTGTTACTAATATTTAAATAAGTTTGATGATCTAAAGAATTAAAGTGTGACAAAAAAAAAGAAAGAAAAAAAAGAAATCAATAAGGGAGCGAACACATTTTCACACCTCTGTATATGTGATTGTGATTAAGAAATAATACTGATGTTCGTTTCTGTTGTTGTGTTTCTCTTAGAATTTGACCGTCTGATGCTGCAGCTCAGTAAACAGTGCGGTAGGTTGAAATCTTGAGTCCTCACTCTCATTTTTATCTGTACGGAAGCCTATCAGGGACAAACCTCCTTTAAAAACACAATTTAAAAATGCTTTTGTTAGCAAGAACAGTTTTTCAATAGCTACACTGAAAAAAAAATATTCAGAGATGATTCCTTGGATTTACTCAATTTTTTTACGTTAAGTGGTTGTAAACAATTTATTTGTGTTGAATTTAAACAAACAAATTAAGTTGAACATTATTAAACTGAATGTGTTTGTTTAAATCCAAAACAAATAAATTGTTTGCAACAGTTCTGCATGCAACACTTTTTATAGTGTATGTTTCCATCCAAAAATGCAAATGAACTTTATGCGCAAACTGGCGAATAAAGCAGTGTTTCCATCCAACGAGTCAAAACAAACAAAATCGTCACTTCCTGATTAACTGGCGCCAAATATCAACAGTAAAAATGGAATTTGCTGTATAAATGACTTGCGCCTCAGAAAGCAATCCTGACATGCAGTGAACGCGCGGTGGCGTTTATAGGTGTTAGACGCGGAGCACAGATGCTCTTGATTCTGGAGGTCATTAATAATATAATAACACTAATGCTTAAACGGTAAGGCATTTCAGAATGACCAAAACAACATTTCAGATGGTTTACAATATGCTTAGCCTACTAGTTTATCCATTTAGACACATTTTCACCATCACATGATCTTTTATAACAAAATCACATGACCTTTTTTTAATGCACATACTGTTAATTGTGCGGTAAAAGTGTTTTCGTCATAGTTTAAGTGCATCTTCTCTTATAGAATAAAAAGTTTATCCTTCTCAGTTGTGCGCATATGTATTTTAAACACATTTTCAAAGTCTATGCTCATCATGGCATTTCAATCAACCGTTTTGTTAATGCGCATATGCAAAAAGTGCATAAAAATAGGTGGGTGGAAACAAAACTAATGTCAACACATCAACAAGCCGATCATGATTTTTATTCATTTAATCATTTTCTTGTCGGCTTAGTCCCTTTATTAATCCGGGGTCGCCACAGCGGAATTAACCGCCAACTTATCCAGCACGTTTTTACGCAGCGGACGCCCTTCCAGCCGCAACCCATCTCTGGGAAACATCCACATACACACACTTATTCGCTATAGACAATTTAGCCTACCTAGTTCACCTGTCCCGCATGTTTTTGGACTGTGCGAGAAACCGGAGCACCCGGAGGAAACCCACGCGAACGTAGGGAGGACATGCAAACTCCACAAAGAAACGCCAACTGAGCCGAGGTTCGACCCAGCGACCTTCTTGCTGTGAGGCGACAGCACTACCTACTGCGCCACTGCGTCGCCATCGATTATGTTTTTGATCAGGGTATTTTTTTTAGCAGAAACAAAAAGGAATGTACAAAAAAAAACTGCTAAAATAAATTACAAATACAGTCAGCAGAGCATAGCGAACAGTGTTTATACAATCAGTGATTTACAGACGACACCCTGTCAACCCTCTCGCTTTTCTTGGGATTCTCCCATATTTCACTATTCTATCCCACTATCATCCAGTGAAGGTATTTTCCCATATTTCTCCTGTATTTTTTAATCTTTCTATGAGGGGTGGCAATAAACTTTAAAGAGCCGATCCTTTCTATATGCAATCCATACTGCCATTGTGCGAATTATACATTGAGGATTGGGGTGTGGCGGGGTCAACTTTTTCAGTAGTAGTTTGATAATACATGCTTTAGTGAATCAAATTTAGGAATGTATTTAGATTACATCTAATGTATTAAGAAATCGTATACGTTTTCAGTGGTTCAGTGGATATGTAGTGATTTTAGAGGTTGCTGTTGGTCAAACTGCACAAATTATGTGTCTGATGTTATTTTTTTAGGCTACATGTAAATATAAACCAATTTTACAAGAAATGTGTTTTGTGAATACTTAAGATGTCTATTTGTTATAGAGGTCAAATATATTTTTATATTATACATTTTTAATTATTAATATTTAAGAAAGCTAATATTGAACAAAGAATTTCTTACTATTAACGGGCTAATAGTAAGAATTAGCCCCCCCCAAAAATAACATCTTGTTTTGATGTTCTTCATGGGGGATCAAGCGTAGAGGAGTCAATCCTTCCTAAACTCCGCCGTAATTCCAGCCTGATCTGACGAGGAAACGTGAGTATATTACGTTTTGTCAGTTTAGTGGCTAATTCCGTCGTTCCGAGTTCCGTCGTACAAAAATGTACGATTTTAAAAAGGAGGTGTGGCACCTAACCCCACCCCTAACCCCAACCGTCATTAGGTGATGAGGAAATCATACTAATTAGTACAAATTAGATCGTACGAATTCACACAAATTAGCCACTAAATTAAAGTTACGAATTGCCGTGAGATTGCGTTGGTAATTCGTACCATGCATATTGCCGAACCACCAGGGGATACCCCTTCCTCTTAAATGTGAATCTGTACTGTGCTCTTTTATTTTATTTAGGCATGAAAACACTTTGAAATAAATATAAAACCGGCGGGATTCCCTTCCTTTCCATTACAGGCGCCTTCGCCCCTCCTATGCATCCTCAAAACAGTCAGTTCATATAGCAGTGCGTGACTGTCAGACTGTCATCCCTTACTTTCACATCCCAATGTTGAGAGTAATGAGACCATCAGGGGGAAAAAAGATGCTTATAATGTTTAATACAACTCAGATTTGCTGCAGTTTTCATAGAAGAAATAATAAGATCAAATTCAACACAAGAACATTTGTAAACATGGGAGATGACTTGGCAAATGTAGGTTTTTGTGTGTGAAATTTGCTAATGGAATACAAAGGTTAACGACATATTTGAGATCTTTATTGTGTGTCTGTCCATCCTGCAGTGCTCTCCGCTGGTCCAGTGTATATCCAGTGCACTGCGCAGGGCTTCAAGCTTTACTGCTCCCTCAAATACTACCAGAGCTACATCAAGACCAGCTGGCACTTCAAGTGAGCTCCATGCACACTACAGTAATGTTTTCACTCTGGATTTCTCTAATACTTTTCAATACACATCAATACAACGTTTTTACTTTTAAGTTAGTTCATTTTAATTCTGGGCAAAAATTATCACAAATAATCACATCCCAGATAACATATGTGTGTGTGCTGTGTATATTTGTTATTTATGTATTAATGCATAAGCCTGAACAGCTAGCTGAATGTGCCAAGCGTTGTGTTATCAACACAAAAGGTTGTAGGTTCGAAACCAGCATAGGGCATCATTCATAAGTTTCTTTGTTGTGTGTGGGAGTTTATGGGTGTTTCCCCATACTAGGTTGCAGCTGGAAGGGCATCCGCTGTGTTAAACATATGCTGGATAAGTTGGCGGTACATTCCACTGTGGTGACCTCATATGTAAATATATATACAGTTGAAGTCAGAATTTTTGAGACTGGTCTGAATGCAGACCTGGTGCAGTGCAATCTGAGCTGCATCCAATGCTTTTTTAATGGGCTCACCTAACCCCACCCCTAACCCTATCCCTCACAGTGATGTCACTCACTCCATTTGAGTGTTTTGTGTCTGACATTGCATCGCTGAGTGACGCAATCTCAGCTTGCATCATACAGGCTGCATCCAGATACTATTGGAATGTTTAGCCCCCCTGAGTTATTCGCCCCCCTGTTTATTTTTCCCCAATTTCTTTTTAACAGAGAGATTTTTTTCAACACATTTCTAAACGTAATAGTTTTAACAACTCATTTCTAATAACTGATTTATTTTCTCTTTGCCATGATGACAGTAAATAATATTAGACTAGATATTCTACAAGACACTTCTATACAGCTTAAAGTGACATTTAAAGGCTTGACTAAGTTAATTAGGTTAACTAGGCAGGTTAATTAGGGTAATTAGACAAGTTATTGTATAACGATGGTGTGTTCAGTAGACCTTAAAATGGTGTTTAAAAAATTAAAAGCTGCTTTTATTCTAGCCGAAATAAAACAAACAAGAATTTTCCCAGAAGAAAAAATATTTTCAGACATACTGTGAAAATTTCCTTGCTGTGTTAAACATCATTTGGAAAATATTTAAAAAAGAAAAAAAATTCAAAAGGGGCGAATAATTCTGACTTCAACTGTATGTGTATATATATATATATATATATATGCAAACAATAACAACACGCACGTTATGTCAAAACAAGCTTTTGTTTTGGATGTATTTAATCTTTGCCAAGGAATAATGTGTTAGTAACATAAAAGGAATATCTTTTAATTGGGGTCAGAAAAAAAAGATTTACATAATTAGTAAACATATTCTGTATGTTCATAGACAAACAATATTTTTTTCAGTATTGCAATATGTATTTATTTAAATTTTAAATAAATAGTATACTATTTTATCATATTTTTTTATTTATTTATTTGTATATTTATTTTACTTGTTTGTTTATTTTCTGAAAACAAGATCCGTCATTTTGCGTCTCAGGAATTACTGGTAACTAAGCTATGCAATTTTTATTTAGCTTTTTATTCTTTCATAACAATTTAAATAATTTGGGTGTTTTTTCATCTAATGGATTTAGATGGGTTGATGGAAAAGTAGAAATGTACATATCTTTTATTAATCAGTTATTATAGCACCATTAAGAACACTTTGGGCCCTGGGGCTTTAGCAAATCCAAGGGCCCACTTTTGTTTTTTAAAACACACACACACACACACACACACACACACACACACACACACACACACACACACATATATATAGTTGTTGTTGTTTTTATTTTTGTTGTTGGTATTATTGTTAATAATACTTTACTAATTAATATGCAAGTCATCTATACAAAATTATGTAATGACATATGAATATCAAACAGGCTGCAAAAAATAAACATTAACTAAAACAAAATAACTATTTTCATTTAGTTCACCTTGAGGTTAAAACTGAAATAAAACATAAAATATGTTATCAAATTAAACATACATAATAAAAAATGACAAAAAAATACTTCCATTAAAAATAAAAACAGAAATATATATAGAAAAAAATAATTCAGAGTAGTTTTAAAAACTATTACTTAAAAACATTCAATCATTTATTTTCCTTCAGCTTACTCCCTTATTTAATCAGGGGTCATCACAGCGGAATGAACCTGCAACTTATCCAGCATATTTTTTACGCAGCAGATGCCCTTCCAGCTGCAACCCAGTACTGGGAAACACCCATGCACACTCATTCACACTCTCATACACTACGGCCAGTTTAATTTCCCTATAGCGCATGTGAACTGGAGCACCTGGGAGGAAACCCACGCCAACACGGGGAGAACATGCTAACTCCTCACAGAAATTCTAAATGACCCAGCAAGGTCTCGAACCAGCAACCTTCTTACTGTGAGGCCACAGTGCTAACCACTAAGCCACCATACTGCCCTTACTTAAAAACATGTTACTCATAAACATCATAACTATACTAGATTCTACAGTTTCCTCTTTTAAAGTCTTTACCCAAGTCTCCTTTGGGAACAGAATGAAAGCCCACATTCACACAGTTTGAGTTGTTATTTTGTGAGGGCGTTTTATGAATTATATGTGTTTGTTTTTTCTTTGCCGTCATCAGAGAGCGCAGGATCGATCTGGACGAGCGCTGCCGGCCCGGCTCCAGCATGCAGAAGCTCTGGATCGAGATCTGCAATCCCACTGAAAACGATAAAGGCAAATACACACTGGAGATGTGTGACGGTCAGGACACACACAAGCGCTCGCTGGATCTGTCTGGACAAGGTACTGCAGCACCAAACTAGGGATGGACTATTTATTAAAAATACATCAAATATCTTGAGATAAACAATATTAATGGTTATATAATTTATAAGCATCCCCTGAGAGACAAAAACAGTGCTGTATCTTTAGAGAAAAGTGTTCATTGTTTTAATATTGATTATTAATAACATTTAAGTTCAAATTAAAAGCCCTTTTCAAATATTTCCCAAAGGATGTTGAACAGATTCAGGATTTTTTCACAGTATTTCCTCTAATATTTTTTTTCTTTTGGAGAAAGTTTTATTTGTTTTATTTTCGCTAGAATATAAGCAGATTTAAGGTCAATATTATTCGCCCCCTTAAGCAATATTTGTTTTGGATTGTCTACAGAGCAAACCACTGTTATACAATGACTTGCCTAATTACCCTAACTTTACCCTAATTAACCTAGTTAAGCCTTTAAGTGTCACTTTAAGCTAATTACTAGTGTCTTGAAGAATATCTAGTCTAATATTATTTACTGTCACCATGGCAATGAGAAAATAAATCAATTATTAGAAATGAGTTATTAAAACTATTATGATTAGAAATGTGTTGAATCTGCTCTCTCCGATAAATAGAAAGTGGGGGGGGTAACACTTTATAATAACTACACACTGTAAATCATTTATTAAGCATTAGCATCTAGTGAATTCATTATTTGTTTAGCATTACCTCTACTTTAGTAATGACTATTAAAGGCTCAGAATCTTTGCAATCTTTTCTAAAAACTAAAATTACTGTAAAGTTTACACATTGCTGAATAACAGGAGTGTCAAAATATGACATCCAACTGGATGAAACAACAACAACAACAATATAATAATTTAACAATATAATAAGATGCAACGTTTAGACTCTACAGTGATGTTACTTTAGATCAGGTTGCAAAGATTTATTTTTCATTTAAAGTACAGTTTCATTTGTGCATCTTTAATAGAATAGGAAAGAATAATGTCATTTTCCCTGTTTAGAATTTAACTGAGTCTTTATTTGTCATTTATAAAGCATGAATAGTCCTCACTTTAGATTAGGTCACAAAACTGCCTGAAGTTGAGTTAATAAAGCATTTCTTAACATATTAGTTAACTATAAGTATATGCCTGAATAATAAGACATATAAACGTTGATTTCATTGGTTTATTAATCATTTACTATCTCATTCTGAATGATCCTAAAAACCCTCAACTACTCTTGAATACAAATGGTTTGTAAATAATGCGATACTTAATTTAGTTATGAAAAATAAATCATTAACTAAGTATGAAAGTACAATTATTAAACACATTATAATAGGTGCTTATAAGTCAAGAATAGAGATTTTGTAGCTGCAGTTATAAACTACTTACTAACGTTTACTAATGTAGAGTTAATGCTTAACAAATCATGAATTCACAAGATGCTAATGCTTAATAAATGATTTATAGTGTGTAGTTATTATGAAGTGTTATCGTTGGGGGAAGAAAATATACAGGAGGGCTAATAATTCAACTCTATTTCTGTTTAACGGAGAGAAGATTTTTCCGCTATCTGTGTGAAGCTCAAACATTTCTCTCTCTTTTCTCTGTAGCGTTTGCTGATGCTCTGCTGGAACACCAGAGACTGAAGTGAGTCATGAATATTCATAAGATCACACTGACCTTTGACCCTTTGTTAGCTGTTAGCTCCACCCCTTTTAGTTGCTGTTTAAAGCCTGTTTTTGATCTATAAATGTTATCAAAGTTTAGTTATATTGATTCTATTTAACTTTGTATAAATAAATTCTGTGCACATTACATATATATATATATATATGTATATATAATGTAATGTGCACAGAATTTATTTATACAAAGTTAAATAGAATCAATATAACTAAACTTTGATAACATTTATATATATATATATATCTATATATAATCTTATATATATATATATCTCGTATAATCTTATATATATATATATATATATATATATATATATATATATATATATATATATATATACATATTCATACACATATATATTTATATACATACTTATATATATGAGCAATATCACACGAGTAGCAGTGCGATATGGTTGTATATCGGCACAGGTGGGAGGCGTGCGTTGGTTTAGTGCCCCCACCAGTGCCGATATACAGCCATATCGCACTATTACGAGTGTGATTTTGCGTTTATACGACAGTTTGACGGCATAATTGTGTATATAAAAACTAAATCCAACATCTCAACAGTCTCAAAAACCCTTTTGTATGAGGAACTACTTTCTTCCTCATTCAAATCATAAGCTGACAGTTAAACAGTTGAGCGTGCATCTTTTAAGTTTAGATCTGTAGTGTCTGCTTTTTGCTGGCTGTATGTGGGCGGAGTAATACACAAAGGGTAAAGAGGCTGTAGGAGTTCTGATATTGCAGAATATCGCACGGCTATCAGCCAATCAGATTCGAGAACCAGACAGAACTGTTATATATATATATATATATATATATATATATATATATATATATATATATATATATATATAATGTATATATGTAATGTGCACAGAATTTATTTATATAAAGTTAAATAGAATCGATATAACTAAACTGTGATATAAGTTTAAATGATTGCTTGTAAAATTAAATATACTTTAGAAATTTTATCCAAAATATTTATTATTTTAACATTTCATTTAATATTTTGTATAGCTTTTAAAATGTATTCATTACAACATACATATTCATTATGTTAAATTTATCAAAACATTGCTTTAAGCTAATAACAGCAGTTATTATTGGAGAACACATCCTAAGTATGCCTTTTTTTCCCCTTCATTCACAGGCAAGTGGAGTTTGCGGAGAAGAGTAAGTGGAGGTTTTTCATGACTCTAGTTGTGTTTGAGTGAATTAGTTTGTTAAATGATGGTAACTTTGTGTCTGTCAGATCGAGCCCGAGTCACGAAGGGTCTTCCTGATGTTGTGGCCATAATGGAGGACAAGGTGTGTCAGACTAAATAACACAATATAATGAGTTACTGGTGATCTTTCAATTGAGTTAAGCCTTTAAATTGAACTTTGATTGTAGCTAGCATAAGGCTAACGTGATTTCCATGTAGCTAGCATGATGTAGCTATCATAATTGTAATAATATTAATGATAATAATGTCAATATTAGCCTCCATGAACATTTTTACTGTTATCCAATGATTTAACTAATTAGCATAATTAACCTAGTTTAGCCTTTAAATTGCACTTGTAGCGACCATAAAGTTAGCATTATTAGCATGTAGCTAGCATGATGTTAACAGGATTATAAAAGTTATAGCAACATGTTAATCATCTAGCTTGCATGGCGCTAACAGGATTGGCATTGCAGCTAGCTTGATGTAGCTTTCATAATTTTAATAATAATAATGGGGTCAATAGTATTAGCCTCCTTGACAATTTGTTTTCAACTGTTCTCCGATGTTTTAACTGGTTAGCCTAATTAACCTTGTTAATCCTTTACTTTGTAGTTTCCTTGTAGCTAGCATAAAGCTAACATGATTAGCATTTAGCATACAATGATGCTAACAGAATTAGAATAATGATAACATGTTAATTGTGTAGATATCATGGTGGTAACAAGGTTAGCATATAGCTAGCATGGTGATAACAGGATGAACATGTAACTAGCATAATGTAGCTATCATCATTTTAATAACAATGAGGTCAATATTTATAGGCCCAATGAGAATTTGTTTTCGACTGTTCTCCAATGTTTTTACTGGTTAGCCTAATTAATCTTGTTAATCCTTTACATTGTAGTTGTAGCTAACATAAAGCTAACATGATTAGCCTATAGCCTATAGCCTGTGAACAGGATTACAATAAGGATATCATGTTAATTGTGTAGATAGCATCTTTAAATGATTAGCATATAGGTAGCATGATAAAACAGGATTAGCATGTAGCTAGCATGATGTAGCTATCCTAATTTTAATAACAACGCTGAGGTCAATATTATTAGCCCCCTTGAGAATTTTATTTTACTGTTGTCCAATGATTTGACTAGTTAGCCTAATTGATCTAGTTAAGCCTTTAAATGGCACTTGTAGCTAGCATAAAGTTAACATGATTAGCATTTAGTTAGCATAATGCTAACAGGATTGAAGTAATAATAACATGGTAATTGTGGAAATAGCATGGTGCTAACATTATTAGCATGTATTTGACATGATTACCATAATATCAACATGTTAATTGTTTAGTTATCATGCCACGGACAGGATTACCATTTAGCTAGCATTATTTAGCTATGATTTAACAATAAGGTCAATATTATTAGCATCTTTGGGGGTTTTTTTCACTGGTGATAGATGATTTGACTCGTTAGCCTAGTTAGCCCTTTAAAATTGCACTTAACTTGTAGCAAACATGAAGCTAACATTATTAGCATCTAAAAAGCATGATGCTAACACCATAAGAATAATGGTAGCATGCTTATGTAGCTAACATGGTGCTAACATGATTAACAAAAAGCTAGCATGATGATAACAGGATTAGCATGTAGCTAGCCTGATGTAGCTATCATAAGTTTAATAATAACAATGAGGTCAATATTATTAGCCCCCTTTAGATTTTTTTTCACTGTTGTCCAATGTTTTGACCAGTTAGCCTAATTAACCTAGTTTAGCCTTTAAATTACACTTTACGTGTAGCTAGCATAAAGTTAACACGATAAGAATGTAGCTAGCACGATGTTAACAGGATTATGATAACAACATGCTATTCTTGTAGATTACATGGTGCTAACGGGATTAATAGGTAGCTTGAATGAAGCTAACATGATTAGCATGTAGCTAGCACAATGTTAATGGGATCAGCATGTAGCTATCATGATAATAATAGTAATATAGGTGTCCTCTGCTGTGTGTTCAGTCTCTGTGCCTGACGTGTTTTGTTGACGGTGATCCTGCGCCTGAAATGTTCTGGATGAAGAACGACAGAGAAATCTCGTCCGCAGCCCAGTACAACATTAAAAACGAGAACAAATCCTCCACGCTCACCATAAACCACGTCAGCATGGAGGACTCTGGGAACTACAGCATCTTCGTGCGCAATAAACACGGCTCGCAGACGGTCCTGGTGACGGTCAGTGTGTACAAACATGGGGAAAAACCCAGAGGAGACGCAGTGCAGATGTAAAAGCCACAGCAAACACTGATTGGTGAAGGAGTACACTATATTTACATGTGTGATATGTATGACGGTGTTAAAGAGCAGGTCACATGGGCTTTAGAAAAATATCCTGTATGCAGTTTTTAATGTAGCTGTCAGTTAATGTAAACAATTTGCAAAGTTCCTCATAAAAGTGCTTGATAAATAAAGATGTAGTCTCTCAGAAGAAAGAGTCGACTCTGAATCATCTTAACGAGTCATTTTATTAACGAATCTTTTTACTTATCAGCATGACCAAAGTAACTAATTTGCATAATCCCCGCCTCCCATGACATTCAAAACTCTGAAAAGGGTGTCTCATTTCAGACAAGACCAATCAAAACAGACTTGGCCAGCTGACCAATCAGACCAGAACTGGCTTATGTAAGGGGGAGGGGCTTACTGATCTTAAGCAGTAAATTGATTCAAACTGAAATCACTGCAAAATGATTCTAATAGTAAATGCAAATTCTGAGCAAATGACTGAATATACACTCTACGGCCACTTTATTAGCTACACCTGTCCAACTGCTCGTTAATGCAAATTTCTAATCAACCACTCACATGGCAGCAACTTAATGCATTAAGGTACGTAGACATGGTCAAGACGATCTGCTGCAGTTCAAACTGAGCATCAGAATGGGGAAAGAAGAGGATTTCAGTGACTTTAAACGAGGCATGGTTGTTGGTGCCAGATGGGCTGCTCTGAGTTTTTTCAGAAACTGCTGATTTTCTGGGATTTTCACGCACAACCATCTCTAGGGTTTACAGAGAATGGTCTGACAAAGAGGAAATATCCAGTGAGCGGCAGTTCTGTGGGTGCAAATGCCTTGTTGATGCCAGAGGTCAGAGGAGAATGGCCAGACTGGTTCCAGCTGATAGAAAGACAACAGTTACTCAAATAAGCACTCAATACAACCGAGGTCTGCAGAAGAGCATCTCTGAACACACAACACGTCCAACCTTGAGGCGGATGGGCTACAGCAGCAGAAGACCACACCGGGTGCCGCTCCTGTCAGCTAAGAACAGGAAACTGAGGCTACAATTCACACAGACTCACCAAAACTGGACAATATATTATTAGCCCCCCTTAGAATTTTTTGTCTGATAATATTTTTTTCTTCTGAAGAAAGCCTCATTTGTTTTATATATTATAGAATAAAATTAGTTTTTAATAGTCTTTAAGCCATTTTAAGGTCAATATTATTAGCCCCTTTAAGCTATTTTTTTCGATACAGAACAAACCATCGGTATACAATGACTTGCCTAATTACCCTAACCTGCCTAGTTACCCTAATTACCCTAGTCAAGCCTTTAAATGTCACTTTAAGCTGTATAGAAGTGTCTTGAAGAATATCTAGTCTAATATTATTGACTGTCATCATGACAAAGATAAAATAAATCAGTTTTTAAAACTATTATGATTAGAAATGTGCTGAAACAATCTGCTCTCCGATAAACAGAAATTGAACAAAATAAACAAGGGGGCTAATAAATTTAAGGGGTTAAATAATTCTGATTGCAAAAAAAATTATGTCTGCAAAACTGTTGCAAATAATTTATTTGTGTTGATTTTAAGCAAACAAATTAAATTTAATAAAATACAACTTAATTTGTTTGTTTAAATTCAGCCCAAATAAATTGTTTACAGCCACTTAACGTAAAAAAATTGAGTAAATCCGAGGAATCATCTCTGAATAATTTTTTTCAGTGTATATATATATATATATATATATATATATATATATATATATATATATATATATATATATATATATATTCTTACAAAACAACTAATTTACTTTAGTTCAATTTTCAGGGGCAAAAAACTAAAGTAATTGAAGTTGCTTGAATAAAAAGTGTAATTAGGGGAATGAAGTAACATTTAATCATGTGTCAATGCAGTTTAAATATGCTAGTTAGTGGTATATGTTTAAATGGTAAGCTATTCAAAACTTTAAACTAACTTAACCAGCCTTTTGTTGTCAGACTGAACAGACTTTCCATCTGCATTATTAGAGACTAATCTTTGGCTGGATGAATGATTCATCTGCTGATATTTCAGAATAGACAGATTGAGGCTGTTTCTAATATGATTATGCAACCTGAGGGTGATTATTTGAAGCAAACTCCACAGACCAGCAGGTCATTGACCGTCGTGTGTTCAAACAGAACAGAAACATTTGCAAAACTGGTCTGACAGGAGAATCCAGTCCTGCACAACACATATGCTGAGCAAACTGAATCAATCCTGCAGGTCAACTCTCGTGCTTTATTTTAAGTTTATTAAGATTATTTTATTTATTTATTATTTTATTTATCTATTTATTTATTTAGTTGTTTATTTAGCAATTATTTGTTTATTTATTTATTTATTGTTTTTTCCTGCAGATCATGCCTTGTGCCTTTTTACATTTAATTTTTAATTTTATTTTATTTTTTTTTATTTTTTATTTTATTTTACAGTCTGACAAATACTGCACCAAAAACCCTCAGATCATGTCTTATGCATTTCATTTTATTTTATTTCATTTTATATTATAAATTTTTATATTTTTATTTTACAGTCTGACAAATACTGAATCAAAAACCATCAGATCATGTCTCATGCATTTAACTTAATTTTATTTAATTCAATTAAATTGTTTGTTTGTTTGTTTGTTTGTTTTTACAGTCTGACATACTGGACCGAAAAACCTCAGATCATGTCTAATGCATTTTATTTTATTTTATTTTAATTTTATTTTATATTATTTTATTTTTTATTTTATTGTCTTTATTTTATTTGATTTTACCTTATTTTATTTTAGTCTGACATATGGACCAATAAATCTCTCAGATCATGTCTCATGCATTTAATTTAATTTAATTTTTTTTTTTTTTTTGTATTATTTATTTTATTTTATTGTCTTTCCTTTATTTTATTTTATCTTATTTTATTTTACAGTCTGACATACTGGACCAATAAATCTCTCAGATCATGTCTCATGCATTTTACTTTTATTTTTTTTATTATTATTATTATTATTTTTATTTATTCATTTTTATTTATCTATTTTATTATTTATTTTATTTTAATATTTATTTTATTTTATTTTACAGTCTGACATACTGGACCAATAAATCTCTCAGATCATGTCTCATGCATTTTACTTTTATTTTTTTTTATTATTATTATTATTTTTATTTATTCATTTTTATTTATCTATTTTATTATTTATTTTATTTTAATATTTATTTTATTTTATTTTACAGTCTGACATACTGGACCAATAAATCTCTCAGATCATGTCTCATGCATTTTACTTTTATTTTTTTTTATTATTATTATTATTTTTATTTATTCATTTTTATTTATCTATTTTATTATTTATTTTATTTTAATATTTATTTTATTTTACAGTCTGACATACTGGACCAATAAATCTCTCAGATCATGTCTCATGCATTTTACTTTTATTTTAATAGAATTAGAAAGATCAAAGGAACAAATTTTAAAATATGAATTCTACACTATCTCTTTTGATACATTTAATTGATTTAAAAAAAGCAGTTCACCCAAGAAACATTTCCTCACACTCGAGTGGTTGTCTTGTAAACTTTTATGAATTACTTTCACAAAACAACGTATTTGGAAGAATGTTGGAAAAAAGCAGCCATTGACTTCCATAGTAACAACAAAAAAAATACTATGGAAGTCAATGGCTGTTTTTTCACCATTCGGTATCTTCATTCTGGAGCAGAATTTTTTGGGTGATCTGTCCCTTTAAGTCGTCAAATCCTGGTGCAATATTCCACATGCACTGATGAGTCTTTATTTTTGGTCTGCTACTGCTGTGTATGTGGGGGCATTTACCTCATCTTCTGCTGGAGTTGATGAACGGTGGGTTGTTCAAACAGCAGCAGGTCATTGACTGAACTCCTCTCGATATAAAAGCTGCAGATCTGAAGCTGACCTTCACTTTGTGTTGAGCTTCTCCAGAAAGCATGGCCTTCAGCGGGACGTGGCAGGTTTACGCTCAGGAGAACTACGAGGAGTTTCTCAGAGCCATCTGTGAGTTGAACTGCACTTTCAGAAGATGATCAGCACTGGCATTAAATAGACGAGTTCACACTTGAAGACAATGTTTGTTTGTTTGTTTTTTTTGCAATAATTTGCATGCATTTTTAATATAGACGCAGTCAGGTTTTTCATTTTAACATATAAGATTTGGGCGGCACGGTGGCTCAGTGGTTAGCACTGTCGCCTTACAGCAAGAAAGTCGCTGGTTTGAGTCCCGGCTGGGCCAGTTGGCATTTCTGTGTGGAGTTTGCATGTTCTCCCAGTGTTGGCATGGGTTTCCTCCAGGTGCTCCAGTTTTCCCCACAGTCCAAACACATGTGCTTTAGGGGAATTGGGTAAACTAAATTGGCCGTAGTGTATGAGTGTGATAGTGTGTATGGATGCCATAGTGTGTGTGTGTGTGTGTACATGTTTTTTGTGACATATCAGGACACAAATCTGTATAATGACATAGGTATGACACAGGTATTACAAAAAGGAGGTGAAGTATGGGGACATTGGTGAGGTCCTCGTTTCTCAAAATACTTATAAATCCCACAGGATGAGTTTAATCAGAGAGTAAAGCTGCACACAGTCTCCTGTGATGGTTGGGTTTAGGGGTAGGGTGGGGTAAGGGCAATACAATCTATGGTTTGGACAGTATAAAATCAATGGAAACCTATGTAATGTCCCCACTTTTCACAAAAACAAACATGTGTGTGTAGGGAGAACATGCAAACTCCACACAGAAACGCCAACTGAGTCGAGGCTCGACCCAGCGACCTTCTTGCTGTGAGGCGACAGCACTACCTGCTTCGCCCAGCTGGAAGGGCATCCGTTATGTAAAACATATGCTGAAATAGTTGGCGGTTCATTCTGCTGTGGTGACCCCTAAAATAGGAACTAAGCAAAAGGGACAATTAATGAATGAATAATGAGTTACTTTTTAGTTAATTTAATTAGCTTCCAAATAAATTAATTAATTGCTGAATTCAAATTAACATAGTCCAGCTGAATATTATCTCAAACTGTGTTTTTTTAAAGGTAAATTAACTGATATATTAATTAAAATAAAAAATAATCTCTTTCAGAACTTTTGATTTTAAGCCTCAGCAGGTAAGAAAAAGTAATGCCAAAGTAATATTGATAAATGCATTTTTTGTTGCATAAAGGAGATGCATAAGACTCAAAGTCCCGTCTGAAATCTTCAGCTGAAAGCATTTATTTATTTTCCTCCAAGTGTGTAAATTCACTCCATTATGCTTGTCGGTTCATTCCGCCGTGTCAACCCCTGATGAATAAAGGGACTAAGCCAAATTAAAAGGAACGAGTAACCTGATTAACCTAGTTGAGCCTTTAAATGTCTCTTTAAATTGAATACTAGCATCTTTATAAACATCTCAAATATTATGTGCCCCAATCCCCCCACCACCTCCACACCCTCCGGGCTCTTTAGTTTATGATCGCTCCCCTCTCCCCTGCAACCATAAAGAAATGCTTTCAGCTGAAGATTTCAGACGGGACTTTGAGTCTTATGCATCTTTTTTTAGCAATAAAAATGTATTAATCAGAAGTTGCCACAGTGGAATGAACCGACAACTATTCCAGCATATGTTTTACACAGCGGATGCTGTTCCAGCAGCAACCCAGTACTGAGTAAAAACCCATGCACACTCATTCACATTCGTACACTATGGCCAATTTAGTTCATCAATTCCCCTATAGCGCATGTGTTTGGACTGTGGGGAAAACCCACACCAACAGGGGGAGAACATGCAAACTCCACATAGAAATGCCAACTGACCCAGGCGGTAATCGAAGTAGAGACCTTCTTGCTGTGAGGCGATTGAGCTAACCACTGAGTCACGATGCGATCAATTTACTTAATTGTTCATTTTCTTTTCAGCTTAGTCCCTTTATTAATTCGGGGTCGCCACTGCAGAATGAACCGCCAACTTATCCAGCATTGTTTTACACAGTGGATGCCCTTCCAGCTGCAACTCAACATTGAGAGTTTCAGAACTGTGAAGTGATAAAAGCGATTGTGTCTCTGTTTGTCCAGCTCTGCCAGAAGAGGTCATTAAACTGGCCAAAGATGTGAAGCCAGTGACAGAAATCCAGCAGAACGGCAGCGACTTCACCATCACCTCCAAAACTCCTGGAAAAACCGTCACCAACTCCTTCACCATCGGCAAAGAGGCTGAAATCACCACTATGGACGGCAAGAAGCTCAAGGTACAGTTTCAGCTGTGATATGTGTGTTTGCATAGAGTTAAGCTGTTTCATGTGCAGGAAAACTACACTTTATTCTGGAAATGGCTTCACTTTACAGGCGTTTTTATACTTGAGAATTAAAGGGAATCTCCACTTTATACCATTGACGTCTCGCTGAAAAATGTCTAAGAATAGTTTTGATTTTTTCCTGCAGCTGGAAACAAAAACAATTATTCGCCCTCCTGTGAATTTAGTTTTCTTCTTCAAATATTTCCCAAATGATGTTGAACAGATTCAGGAATTTTTCACAGTATTTCCTATAATATTTTTTCTTCTGGAGAAAGTCTGATCTGTTTTATTTTGGCTAGAATAAAAGCAGTTTTTAATTGTTTTTAACCTATTTTAAGGTCAATATTATTAACACCCCTAAGCAATATTAGTGTTGGATTTTCTCCAGAACAAACCACTGTTATACAATGACTTGCCTAATTACCCTAACTTTACCCTAATTACCCTAGTGAAGCCTTTAAATGTCACTTCAAGCTGTAGAAGTGTCTTGAAGAATATCTAGTCTAATATTATTTACTGTCAGCATGGCAAAGATAAAAGAAATCAGATGTTAGAAATGATTTATTAAAACTATTACATTTAGAAATGTATCTGTGTAATTGGTGGTTCATTCCACTGTGGCAACCCTGATAAATCAGAGAATAAGCTGAAGGATAGTGATATTTTGATATTGGAAGGATAGAGTTGTGGTTTTTTTCCTTAATCTTGATTCTTCTGTAGTTACATTGTGAATTAAAACTGATGGAAAATGGAAAGTTGCTATTTTCTAGACTGGTATGGCTGGAACTATACTGTCATTCTGGTGTGATAATCAAGAAACTTTACTGCTGTAAAATGACTGCAGCAGGAGCAATGATATTCTGATGCAGCCCTGAAAACTAAAAGCTGATCTGAGATCGCTGCGTGTGTTGTGAAGGACAGATCTATGACCATGATCAGTAATGCAACGATTGGCTGACGGCACAGCAGCGTAATGACATCATCTGATTAAAATCAATGATCCATGTGAGCAAAATGACATTAAATTAGCAGTAAACGGCTTGTTAAATATGATACGCAATAACCTCCCACATGTGTTGTGAGCTGCAGGCTTTACACTTTCATGTGTCGAGAGTATTTATCATGTTTGTCAATGCATATCAGTGTATTTAGTTCTACATATAGAGAAAGTTTTCTTTATTATAGTTGCCTTCTCAAGTTTTTAAATCAGCGTAAGGAATAACTGTATAAATTAATTTTGCATCAAAAAAGCATTTTAATATTGGTAAAGGTGTCAATCACCGGCATATTAGTGATCAAAACGTGCATAAATTATTTTAAAAGTTGAATATTGTAAGTTCATATCAATAAATTTTCACTTTCAACCACCAGGTGACAGTCTTTTACTCTTATTTCAGAGTGATGATTGCATAAGGTTTATTAATATATATATACTTTGTATATAAATAGTAATATATATATATATATATATATATATATATATATATATATATATATATATATATACACTATTTTCCTGGGTGTATATGTCTACTGTGAGAAATTATCAGCATCCGGTACATACTTTCAGTATCATCTTTAAAACCTATGAAATAATCTTGCTCCCTAGCAGGTTTGAGCTACAAGAGCTGTTGCTATGACAACAAGTCTCAGATGAGTTTTGAAGAACGAAACAATCCTGGATCATGTCAAATCGTCAATAACCATTCATTCATTCATTCATTCATTTACTTGTCAGCTTAGTCCCTTTATTAACCTGGGGTCACCACAGCGGAATGAACCACCAACTTATCCAGCACGTTTTTACTCAGCGGATGCCCTTCCAGCTGCAACCTATCACTGGGAAACATCCACACACACTCATACACTTTGGACAATTTAGCCTACCCAATTCACCTGTACCGCATGTCTTTGGACTGTGGGGGAAACCGGAGTACCCGGAGGAAACCCACGCGAACGCAGGGAGAACATGCAAACTCCACACAGAAACGCCAGCTGACAGCTGGAAGGACAGCTGGAAGGGCGTGGTCAAGTATATTAGCCACACCTCCAATACCTCAGATAGACGTAATGTGAGGATTTAACTGAAAACCAGCAGGAAGTGCATTTCAGGTTTCAATTAAAATATTACAAGGGCAAACTATTTTTATTTCTTAATGCCACCCACAGATGAATTGTTCAGCTCAAAACTAGCAACGTGAGAAAACCAAATCAATATGGCTAGTTTTGATTTCACTCGTACTTTAAATCAAAACTGTTGGTGTTGTTGTTGATTTCAGTGCATCGTCAAGCTGGATGGAGGAAAGCTGGTCTGCAGAACTGACCGATTCTCCCACATCCAGGAGATCAAGGCTGGAGAAATGGTGGAGGTGTGTAGAAGCTCAGATTCTCACATATAAACATTGTATTATGGAGATATTGACGTGTTCTGTGTGTTTGTTATTGTGCAGACGCTGACAGTCGGAGGAACCACCATGATCAGGAAGAGCAAGAAGATCTGAAGCGTTTCACCATAACTCTATTTAAATAAAGCTCTGACTGACAAAAACACTCTGATTATTGATTCACTAAAACACTTTAATAAAAACTGTACCGGTCATACTTTAAATTAATGCTCCATTAGTTCATGTATTTACTATAATGAACTAATAATGAACAGAACCTGTGCCGTATTTATTCATCAGAGTTCAACATTTACTAATGCAATTTACTTTTATAAAGACCCTGTGAGATATATATATATATTCACAGTTCACAGTATTATTATAATTTCGAGGGACTTTTAAGACTAAAATACTGATACTAACATCTATAAAAAAAATAAATAAATTAAAAAAAATAAATATATATATATATATATATATATATATATATATATATATATATATATATATATATATATATATATATATATATATATATATATATATATATATATATATATATATATATATATTTTTTTTTTTTTTTTTTTTTTTTTACATATATAGATGTCAGTATCAGTATTTTAGTCTTAAAAGTCCCACGAAATTTTAATAATATTTTGCGTTTAGAAAATCTAAAACTGATATAAACAAAGTTTGTAGTTTGTCACTTTAGCTCAAATCAGGCATGTCCAAACTCGGTCCTGGAGGGCCGGTGTCCTGCTAAGTTAAGTTTCAAGCCCAATTAAATACACCTGGGCTGGCTAATCAAGCTCTTACTAGGCTTTCTAGAAACATCCTAGCAGGTGTGTTGAGGCAAGCTGGAGCTAAAATCTGCAGGACGTTGGAGCTCCAGGACTGAGTCCAGCTCCCTGGATTAATTGGATCTTTTATTTTTTATTTATTTTTATTTATTTTTTTATTATTTTGAGTCTTTTTTTTTTTTTATTAACTCAATGCCACAAGAGCGAGAGGTATTACATATTTCTGAAAAAGAGAGGAAAAAAAAAAAACAAATATATATATAAAAAATAAAGTAAAATTACATTTAAATAAATTTACATGTTTTCAGTGCTTTTTTTGTTTCGTGATTGTTCTGAAAGATTTACATATACTTTAAAGTCATTTACAAAATGGGCAAAATTTGGTTTACATTGAGCCCACTTTTTCTTATGTATATGGTATTTTCCTAACAACATAAACAGATTAAAAATATATTGTCCTTTACAGTTCAAGTTCTCATTATCAGAATAAAACAGTAAATCAAATAAACCAATTTCTATCTTAAACTCCATTTTTTTTGTTGATAATTCCAAATCTTTCCAAAATATTTGTGAGTAAACACGAAAAAAAAGATGCAAAATTGTTTCTTTTTCTTGACCACAAAATTCACACATATATGAAATATTGAGTTTAAATTTTTCCAAAACATGTTTAGTTGGATAAATTCTATGGAGTATTTTGTACGACACTTCTTTGATCTTGTTATTTAAGCAAAACTTATTTGTCAACTTCCAAGCTTTACTCCAAGAAATATTAGCAAATAATGAAAGCCAAAAATGTCTTGCTGTAGGTAGAGCCAATGAACGGAGAGCATTCTTTATAACCTTACTGTTACGCTTGTTTTAATACATCAGTATTTTCAATGAAAATGTTTTCACAGTGATTACCTTTGTAGGTCTCTTCTGAAAGATTAATTGGATCAATGATTTTTTGTTTGTTTGTTTGACATCACCTCATCTAATCTTCTGACCAATCAAAAGATCTCTAGTGCCTGACATGCCCCGCCCCTTTAAGATACATATTAGCTATGGGCTGTTTATTTAAAGGGCAGGAGTTACTCTATGTGCTAAAATTGTGCTTGTTAACATTAGTTAATCCAAAGCGAGTAAACAATATAGACTATTTTCATTGACAAAGCTGAATAAATACTGTATGAAATGTATTGTTGATGTCAGTAAATGCATTAACTAATGGACCGTTATTTTAAAGCGCTACTGCAAAGTCTTTTCCACTCTGGATGGACTTATTTGATTGTAAAAATGCAGACGATACTGTACTATTACTACCTTTTAATACAGCTGGTTTACAAATCGTAAATTAATAATAAAGGTGAACTGAATTCATACATACAAGAGATTTTTAATATCATGTTATTCTGCAATGACAAAAATACTACATTTTCAATATAAACAGATGCTACGATCAACTGGACAAAAGAAATATCAAATACAACCTTTCTAAAAGAAAAAAAAAGTAACACCGCGACAACTTTGTGTGATTATAAACGGTTTTAAATACTCCTTTTTATGCCAAATTCAAGGTTTAAAAGTCTTTGCATGCATTTTCGACAAACAAAACAAGCTGGCGTTCAGTATGAGCGACTATAAAAATAAAGCCATCTCTATATTGGCATCAAACATGAGCTTTCGGACAGGTTGCATCACTTATTGTGGATCCGAGAAGAACAAAAACATCAGAAGAAGAAAACACTGCAGGAGAGCTGAGCTGGAGCAAACACACGGAGAAAAACACACCGCAAAACATCAGTGTCTCGTTTCCAGTCCAGATAGCTAACCATTCTTAAATCAAGAAGCATTTTCTAGACAAGAAAAAAATGATCAAGATTAGCCAAGTTTGTCCTTAAAACATGCAAATGAGTCAAGAGAAAATGATCTTGCTTTGGGGTTGAAATGAGATGATTTTACTTCAAACTTCCACATGCATGCATGTGTTTGCATGGTGGATTTCTTTATATATATATATATATATATATATATATATATATTTACATAGCTTGTTTCAGGTCTAAATATCTAACAATTCTTAAATCAAGAGCTTCTTTTTGGACCAGTGAAAATATTTTGCTTTCAATTCTTAAAACATGCCAAATAATCTGCAAATGAGGTAAGTGAAATAGTCTTGATACAAGATTTTCTTACAAGTTTGATCTTCTTTCAAGCCAAATATCCAAAACCTCTAAAATCAAGAAGCATTTTCCAGACAAGAAAACCTTTTTGCCTTGCTTTAAGAGAAAACCTGCTCAAATTTGACTTGATTTGTCTCAAAACCAGCAAAACAACCTGCCATCCTGGTAAGATAAATCATCTAAAAACAAGATTATTAGACCATTGGCAGATTATTGAGCTTGTTCAAAGGAAAAACTCCCTTAATTCTGAATACCTGTGGTCTAGAAATTCTTCTTGCCTATTGAGTTGTACATATTTGGCCTAGAAACAAGTCAAAAACTCCAAATAAGAAAAGCATTTTTGTGCACCAAGTAAACAAATATTAATACAAAACCAGTTTATTTGACTTAAAGCAGAGTAGACTGCAAAAAAAGGATTTTATTTTTATTTATTAAAGCTTCCTGGTGTAAAAATGTGTCCATATTTAGACTCAGTAACTCTGAAACCCTTAGAAAAGCATTTTTACATCAAGTAAAATCTCATTTCAACCTGAAAACACGATTACTGCACTGAAAACACAAGCTAAAGACGTTTCAGATTGGAATTATTTGGTAAGACTTTAGTTTGATGGTCGCTAGTGCACGTTTTGTTAATTAAAAGTTGCATTTTAAGTACATGCTAATTACTTCTCATTTGAGTATCAATAGTCTGCTTCATATCTGCTGATTCTGCTCCAACATTTAACTCACTTTGCAAGTGCATGTCAACTTACACTAACCCTAACCTAACAGCCTACTTATAATCTAATGAGAATCAGTTGGCATGTAGATGCAATGCAACTTTAATTCAACTAAATGTGTTAAAGGGACCATCAAAATAAAGTGATCCCACTTTTTTTTACCTACCAAACTTTTGCTTGAGGAAAAACTCACTTAATGTTGACTCTATTTCTGAAATTACCACTATATTTTCCACTCGTCTATAAATGCTTCTTGATGTTTATATATGTGGTCAGGAGAGGAGACGTCATCTGTTTGTGCTGTCCAGCTAGCGTCCTCCTGACTTGCGTCCGGCCCATGATCTGGATCTGGAGCGGGATCTGGTCTCGTCCTCCTCATGCTTCAGCTCTTCTGCTGCCGGACTGCGGGATCCAGAGCGGCGGCTCTTCGACTTGTGCTTGGAATTCTGGGAAGGAGAGTGTGAGGAGGATCTGTGGCGTCTGCGGTGGTGGTCCCGAGAGTGGTGTCTGAGAAAAACACAGGGGTTTATTGTTAGAAAACTGGATTGCAAGGCTCTTCAGAATACTCGATTTTGATTGGTCAATCACAACATCTTATTCTCCAATAATCACACCCTCCAGGAGTTCACAATCACTGAATTAAACACAAAATCAAGCAAATCTAGTTTCTAGAGCAGGGGTCACCAAACTTGTTCCTGGAGGGCCGGTGTCCTGCAGGTTTAAGCTCCAACCCCTAATCAAACACACCTGAACAAGCTGATTAAGGTCTTACTAGGTGTACTTGAAACACCCAGGCAGGTGTGTTGAGTAGGGGTGTAACGATACACTCAGCTCACGATACGATGTGTATCACGATATAATGTTCACGATTCGATATGCATCATGATATTTGGAATAAAAATTTAAAATTTAACTGAAATGCAAATTTTACCAAGTAAACTATTTTTTATGTATTTCTTTTGTTTCAACTTGTTAAACTGAACCTTCTTTAAGAAAATAAATTAAACAGGCCTGTCTCTGGAAAATAAAACAATTTAAAAACTTCTTAAAAAATATTATTGAAATGACAGAGACAAAATTAAGGAACAATTTAAGTAAAGGTGCAAAAAAAAAAGCTTTCTATTCAATTGAATTTAACAGTAAGAGCTTAAGGCTTTGCTTGGTCACTTGCGTTTTTTGTGTGTGCAAAAAAATCCACATTTCCAGGTAATCAGCAGTTCTATAAGATAATCCTGAACTGATGTGTATCTGTCTGAGAGGTTTTTATGGATGGCTGTCTTCATGTTGGGCATGATGAGTGATAGGGTGGACGTCTTTTCATTACACAGGACAGTCGTGGCTCTTTTCAGCAGTTTAGGCAGGTTTACTATTTCTTCTGCGTCGCTGATGTCGGCGCTATCAAGTGTATCATGTTGACGTGCATTTTTGTGTACCTCTGTACTCAAAAGGGTTAATGCTCGACGTAATCATAACTCTAAAATGCGATATGATTGTTTAAATAATGTGTACGTTTTCGGTTTCATTTCCACTGCTAAGTGCTGTTCATACTTCCCACGCGGCTCCTGAAAGATCACTCTGTTCCACAAACTGAATGTTGTTTACTACTTTATTAGTCACAACCTGCACGTTCTGTTCACTGAAGCAGACGCGCGCGTATGGCAAGCCGTTTTAACATTTAAACCTTTGTTCTGACTATCCATAAATATATGTAATTCATATTTAATTAAATTCATTTAGAGATATCTCTAATTATATTTTGACTAGTCGAATTATAATTATGACTAGTCAAAATATAATTAGAGATATCTCTAAATATATTTATGGATAGTCAGATCAAAGGTTTAAATGCTAAAACGGCTTGCCATACGCGCGCGTCTATCATAGTCCGCCCTCTGTAGTAACAGCTCACGTCATGTGTGATTTTGCGGCGGCCAATACATTATTATATGCAGACAGAATGATATTTTAGGGTGAATTGTACCTTATAAATACAGTATGTGACTCTTTCAACACCATGAGGAGGTATCCATGTCGCTGTGCAAAGTATGTAAATCACTGTGAAGACTTTAAAACTTAGGATGTTTGACCCAGTATGCGTGTCAAAAAGCGGACGAGTCTAAAGCAATGACTGACTGTACAACCGAAATGTTGCCAGACGTCTGATTTTGAGAGGATGGGCCCTCCTCTATTTCAACTCCACTCATCTTGGTCTGCTAACATTACTGCTGCTGCAATCTGAACTCACGTGCGACAGCAGGTGGAACGTAGCTCACGTGCAAACAGCTCAACTAATAAGAGAAAACGGACGTCATATCGTAATCAAATCGTCATAACGCCACGATGCATTGTGACATTTTTGCATCGCAATAAATCGTACAACGATAAATTGTTACACCCCTAGTGTTGAGGCAAGTTGGAGCTAAACCCTGCAGGGCACTGGACCTCCAGGACCGAGATTGGTGACCCCTGCTATAGACTAAAGTGTAGTTTCTCTCAGTGTCTGCTTAATATAAATGACAGAAATCAATGGCTACTAATCATCTTGACCTTTGGTGAATAGTAAGGGAGTAACGATGTATGATGGACTGCGAGATCTGCTCCTGTAGCTGCGGCTGCGAGAGCGTCTGATTAGTGAATCATGTGTTAGTTAATGCGGGACCAGCTGTGATCAATCATAAGCATGTGATTCTCTTGAAATTAGTTTATAAATAAACTTGACTTAATGAAATGTACTTCATCTCTTACACACAGGTAACGTGTGCTGGTTTGAGCTCTCGAATTTACTGCACTGACATCAGTGTTTGTGCATTAAGGTTACCTGTCATTCTCATGGCTTCTGCTCCTCCGGTGTCTGCCGTGTGACCGAGAGCTGCTCAAACAATAAAACAAACAAAATAAGCCACATGCAACTCATCAGAGATGCATAAAACATGAGTTAAAGCTTAGAAAAGGGAAGGTGTCAGCACATTTGAAAATCTAAACTATTACACATATTTTACTCATCAAAAATTGAGTTTTCCAACAACAACAAAACATTAAGTCACAAATCAGCAGGTTTTTCTATAAAACAAGCTAGGGCTGCTCGATTTTGGTAAAAATCATAATCACGATTATTCCAATCAATTACTGTTGAAGTCAAAATTATTAGCGCTCCTGAGAATCTTTTAAAAATAAATATTTTTTCAAATTATGTTTAACAGAGCAACAAATTTTAACAGTATTTGCTCTAATATTTTTCTTCTGGAGAAAAGCTTTGGTTTTGTTTTGGCTAGAGTAAAAGCAGATTTAAATATTTTGAAACCTCTTAAGGTCAATATTATTAGCCCCTTTAGGCAATATATATTTTTGATTGTCTGCAGAATAAACTACTGTTATATAATGACTTGCCTAATTAAGCCTTTGAATCGCATTTTGAATTTGAATGTTTGCATTTAAAAAAATATCTAGTAAAATATTATGTGCTGTCATCATAGCAAAGATAAAATTAATCGGTTATTAGAAATGAGTGATTAAAACTATTATGTTTGGAAATGTGTTGAAAAAAAAAAAACTTATTTTCATTAAACAGAAATTGGGGAGGAAAAGGGTTGCTAATATTCAGGAGGGCTGATAATTCTGACTTCAACTGCATATATTATTTTCCTCCCTGCAAAGGAAAGAGAAACAAATACAATAAAATAAAAATATGAAACAAACTGTGCTTTCAGCATCTTCACAGTAAGAAAAACACTTTAGCTACAAAAGTCCTTCAGTCAAGAGCAGAGAGGGATTTTCTCGTTGTTTTATTAATCATGATAAAACAGGCGGCAGCTGTTGTGCACTGTCACTTTAATGGTTTCGCTATCACGCATCTTTTGATCCTTCTCAACTCGTTTGTTTATTACACAAATGAGGGTTAATATGAATAATCACTAAACACTGCGTTTTGACACCTATTTGAACATTAAAGCGCTCACGTTAATGACTTTAGATATGTGTGCTCTCTGCTCATCGCAATGTGCGAATGAGACCAAGCGCGCTTTTAAGAGCGGTCTTTCGCGCTTTTAAGAGCAACATGTGTACAACTGGAAAGGGGGCAGTAAATAATGGAATAATCGTTTATCTCGATTAATGGTTTTTCATAATTGTTAGAAGCCGAAATCGAAATGGGATTTTCGATTAATTGCACAGCCCTAAAACAAGGCAAAACTGATAGAAGAATTTGTAGATATTTTGACTTGAACGAAGTTCAAACTTTTGCAGTCTACCCCACTAACACACTCTTGAGAGTCTAACATTATTAGACAATGAAATTGGATCAAATGTAAAATACCACTGCAGTCTTGATTGTATAACTAATCATCTATACTAAAGTTACAATTGCTTGTGCCTGAATACTTTAAACTCTCTTGTGCCTAAATGCTTACATGAGCCTTTGCGCAAATGATAAACTGCCACTCCATCATAGTTTACTCTCCTGTGACTCCACAAATCTGATGTGTCTTGAACAGTGGCTCTATAATCCTGAAGGATTCGGATTTCTACCTTCCAATTCATCTCAGCATGGATCAACGTTTAACCTTCTCTCATCTTCCAGTTTCTGATTATTTTTATTAAATATGATTATTTGGATGAGCATTTAACTTTGAGTTGATTTTAACTAATGAATAAGTAACACTTTGCTTTATGTAACAATGTTCAGTGTCCTTGCTCCTCTCTTTATCTGTCTATTTTAACTTTGTTTCCAGGAGACACACAAACCAGGTCATAGGTCATAGAGACCTGCCTCTCTCGCTCTTTTGAGCGGAATCACTGATGCTGAGGAGGGGGAACAACTGGTTCTATTGTCATGATACTGTCTACAGTATTTTAGCTGTTTTTATTGTTATTTTTTTTAAGTAATTCCTTTTTATGCTAGATAAACTTTGTGTGCAGTGAGGATATTGTAGCTGCATGTTGAATAAACCAGGTTTGAACTAGGTTGATAAGTCAGCTGAAAGTACAAGAAACAACCTTGAGTTTCCTCAACAGATTGTCTCTTGCGTCTATGTATGCCTCAATGGTTCATCTTTTTACAGGTCGGAGATCAGCTCGTAATAGTTTAGAGTCGGCCTGACCCCAAAAACCATGCAGCCATCCATATCCGGAGTTAGATGCAATCCCTCATTAACGCACACATTGAGATTTGTCTTTTTGCTTTAACAAATGAGAACTAACGATTGATGACCAACTAAACTTCTCTGACCACATTTCTAGAACTGCTCGATCTTGCAGATTCACTCTCTATAACATCAGAAAGGTCCGACCCTTCCTATCTTGAACATGCAGCTCAACTCCTTGTTCAAGCTCTTGTTCTCTCCAGACTGGACTATTGCAACTCTCTACTAGCCGGACTCTCAGCTAACTCTATTAAACCTCTTCAGCTGCTCCAGAACGCAGCAGCACGAGTGGTCTTTAATGAACCTAAAAGAGCACATGTCACTCCGCTGCTCATCTGTTTGCACTGGCTGCCAGTTGCTGCTCGCATCAAATTCAAAGCTCTGATGTTTGCTCACAAAGCGACTTCTGGCCTTGCTCCTTCTTATCTGCTCTCACTTCTGCAGATGTATGTGCCCTCCAGAAACTTGCGTTCTGTAAATGAACGTCGCCTCGTGGTTCCATCCCAAAGAGGGAGGAAATCACTTTCCCGAACGCTCGCATTCAATCTGCCCAGTTGGTGGAATGAACTCCCTAACTGCATCAGAACGGCAGAGTCACTCGCTGTCTTCAAGAAACGACTAAAAACCCAACTATTCAGTCTCACTTCACTTCCTAATCTTCAATTGCCTCTCTGGCTCCACCGCTAACTGTATTACAAATAAATAAATAAAAATTACTAATGCTTTCCTTCTTAGACTTCACACACCTGAAACTTGCCTACAGCACTTATTCATTGTTGCTCTCATAGTTGTGTAAGTTGCTTCCTTGTCCTCATTAGTAAGTTGCTTTGGATAAAAGCGTCTGCTAAATGACTAAATGTAAATGAACTGTTTACCTGGATCACACCTTTTCTGGACTTGTGTAAAGAGTATGATTGCTGCATTGTTGTACTGTAAGTCAAAGCGGCCCAGAAACTCATTGCAAGTGTTGAATCTGGCTTCTGCTGAAGAATCTTCAGTAAACTTTATATATTTATTTATTTGAATCTCTGACTCCGGCTCTTCTTCATCTGACAAACTGGTCATTCTTTGGGTTAAAACTGTAAATTACCCCTTAAATCCCAACATATAAACTCAACATTGAGTGTCCTGCGATGTGTCTATTGCGGATGCACACATTGCAATATCGATGCTGAAACCATATATTGTGCAGCCCTAATAGAGACATCACAGCTTGTGGGAGAGTCCCAATAACACATGAAACCCAGGATGTGTGTGTGTGTGTGTGTGTGTGTGTGTGTGTACTGACTCTCTGGGGCTGGCTGATCTGCGAGTGCGGCGCTCGTATGATGGACTGCGAGATCTGCTCCTGTAGCTGCGGCTGCGAGAGCGTCTGCGTCGTCCGTCACGCTCGTAGTCGTCGTACCGCGATGGAGAATGCTTCTCTTTCGTCTTCATCTGATTGGGAGCTGAAACACACAAATTATTATTATTAGACAGCATTATTACATCTCATTTGATTGTTATGAATTTAATAAAAGTACTACATTGAACATGCATTTAATACTCATTGAAATAATACTCATTTAAAACCGTAGTGTCACTGGGAACTTTTATGATAAATTATAATAAAACACATAGTTTTATCTTATTTATTTTATTATGTTTTGTAATTTTTAACTCGGAATGAAAAACAAGACAATTACATAGAAAATAAAAAATATGATATTTATTTGATTCATTTTATTATTTTTAAACTGAGAAAAGATTTTATAATTAATGAATCCACTTCAAACATTACCTGTTGCAAACTATAGCACTATACTCCTTTTTTACCTCATTCAGATTTTCAAGGGAATGATGAATGCATATTATACAACAGTTCTGTCTGGTTCTTGAATCTGATTGGCCGACGGCCTTGTGATATTCCACCAGTAACAGCACTCGTCCAGCCTTTGAACCCTTCACCCATGTGTATTACTCCACCCACATACAGCAACAAGCAGAGGACACTCTACAGTCTGACAAATATTGCAGCTGTTGGACAACAACATGAACTTTTGAGGCTTTTTTTGTTGATAATGTAGTTGTTTAGATTGCAGCTATGCAGTTTATTTATAAGGATAGTGCCTATTTTAAATATTTATAATTTCTGAGAGACAGCACGTCGGCAGGCATTAGCCTGTCTTTGAGCAAAGACAACTAACCATATTCATCCTTAAGATGGCAACAGAGACGCATAAGCCCTTAGAACAGGGATCACTAAACTTGTTCCTGGAGGGCCGGTGTCCTGTAGATTTTACCTCCAACGCTAATTAAACACACCTGAACAAGCTAATTAAGGTCTTACTAGGGATACTTGAAACACTCAGGCAGGTGTGTTGAGGCAAGTTGGAGTTAAACCCAGCAGGGACACCGGCCCTCCAGGACCGAGATTGGTGACCCCTGCCTTAGAGGATGAAAAAAGCGTGATTTCAAACTACAGCTGATCAAATCATTATTGAACTGGTAAATGACTTTCTAAGTCGATCTCTCTCTTTTAAATGTTGTAGTGCTGTATTTATTCCATAGTAATATTGTAATCTCCCGACTGCAACAGAGAAATACTGGGAAACTCTGGCTGTTCAGCCATATTATCTTAAAATGTGAGCACAATCAGCTGTTTTGTCATCACTTTAAGGCTTATTTATACTTCTGCGTCAAACGCCGGCGTATGCTACGGCGCTGACGCATAGCCCTTCGCCGTGGCCATCGCCGTCACTGACTTGCACCTCTCAAAAAAATGTAACTACACGTCGCAACAACGCGTAGCGTAAGCTCTGTGATTGGTCGGCTTGGTAGCGCTGACGAGTCTGGGCGGGACCGAGAGCCGCGCGAATGGCGCGAGCGATTGCTTACAAGTGTGGAGTCCCGTAAAGGAGCTCCGGATGGAAAGTTTTGTTTTGTGTTTACCTCATAGTTAAAGTTGCGGCACGTCCGCCGGTTCCTGCCTCAAAATGAGCGAGTTTGACCCACTTGTACATCCCGGAAGTGTTCAGGAAAAGCAAAAAAGCAGAGAAGAAACTCGACACAGAGGAACATTTACACCTCACTGCCAATTAGCGTTTTGGAAGTGTTAATGCAGACCGACAGAGACAGAGCGCAGAAGTATAAATGCACAGCCACGCGCGTTGCATGCACCATGGGTTACGTTGGTCACTTGACGCAGAAGTATAAATCAGGCTTCAGACATTACGCTAGAGAACCAAACACTAGCTCTAAAGTGACGTTTGCGAAGTATCAACGGCTTCTGCTGTTCTGACGTCAGCTGCAGGTGTAAAATTATAGACTTAAAGCCTATGCGATGGCATCAATGTGATGTTTTATGTAATTATTATTTGATGTAAATGTAATTATCTTAAATTGTTTTTTAAATGTTTAAATTATCATGTTCCAATCTTGTTTTCTGATCTAATAGTAGGCATCAAACCTCTTACAGAGTTACACGAGCAACTGCTAATGGTGCCTGTCTAGTGCCAAAGTGTAAGACCTCCTTTGGTCAATCTGTCTTCTCTGTAAAGGGAGCCAAACTGTGCCAAACTACTAAATATTTTTAGTAGTGTTCTTAAAAAGTGGTTGAAAACAAAATAGCAGTGTTTGCACAAATAGTTTATAATTGTTGTGGAATTTTTAATAAACAGTGGTCCCTGGCTTTAACACAGTTAAAAATCATTGTGATGTTTTATGTAAACATAACCTTATTAGTTTTGATAGTTGTTTTTTTAAATGTTTAAAAAAATCATGTGCCAATGCTGTGTTCTGATCTAATTAGTAGGCATCAAACCTCTCATAGTCACACGAGCAACTGCTAATGGTGACTGTCTAGTGCCAAAGTGTAAGACCTCCTTTGGTCAATCTGTCTTCTCTGTAAAGGGAGCCAAACTGTGGAATGGTTTACCGGTTAGCCTAAAATCAGAAAGTCATATAAATATTTTCAGTAGTGTTCTTAAAAAGTGGTTGAAAACAAAACAGCAGTGTTTGCACAAATAGTTTACTGTTAGTTTGTTGGATCGTGTCGCCTTTGCTTTTGCCTTCAGTAATTTTATGTAAAGCATTGTAGTGTTGTGTATATGCATTTATTATATTTCCATTTTATCAATTTTTAAGCCTCCTGTGGACAGGTGTTGAGAATTAGCAAGTTTCCTAAAACACTTAAACATGTCCATGTCAAATAAATAAATAAAATAAATGTGAATGAGTGGAGGAAGAAAGTAGTTCCTAATAAAAGAGTTTTAGACTCCGTGTTTGATTTTATTATTTATATACACGACTGTGCCGTCGAACTGTTGTATAAAGGCAATATCACACTCGCAGCAGTGCAATATGGTTGTATATCGTCACTTGTAATTGACTTTTTTCCCCATGCATTTACATACACACACACACACACCAAATTATGTTGCATTAATGTGCAAATTAACTATGCATACGCTTTTACAGCGGTAATATCTGCATTATTTACACCTTCATATTTCACAGATATTATTCCCAGATTTTCTTTTAATAATCATTTTTAGGGTAGTGGAAATTATAGGCAGGTAGGGAGCTGAGAGAGGGCAACAGGAAGGCTGTTGGCACTAACCACATTTTTCAGATGCTGACTGCAGTATAATAATGTTCATCTTTCATGAAGCTGCTTTGGAACAAGTTTTGTGAATTGCAAAAGTACAAATAAACTTGTATTGAAACTCAAATTGTAATCAGTGTCAAAGTTACCATATATGGTTGTAAAAAATAACTTTACATTTATTCATATACTTCCGGTCAAAATTTTGGGGTCAGTAGGATTTTAAATGTTTTTTTTTTATTATGACAGGACAGTACAGCATTAAGACAGGAAAGCATTGGGAGCATAAAATGGGACCTTGAGACGGGAATCGAACTTGAGTCGCGGTGAGCACGTTGGTGCTATGTGCTACTTGTGCTAACGGATTTTTAAATGTTTTTGTTACGGCTCAGTATCTGTGGCTGTGGTGTTTGTTTTTCTCTCTCCCTCCTCTACCTATCATTTTCTTTAGGTCCGCCCAGTTCATCTACACATTAACTAAGCTAGATGCCAGTCATCATTACCATTACAATGACGTCATCAATGACCAATCACAAGCGCACTTCCCCACTTTAAAAGGAAGCTGGCGCAGTAGAAAGATAGCTTGCTTTTTGCTTGCTCACTGTTGTGTGTTTTGCTGGATGGCTGGGTTGCTTGACAGTTTCTTGTGCTATGTGTGCTATAATCATTTGTGCTGAAATCATCTTCAAAGGGGGTTTTAATTGTGTTTTCTCTATGATTATCAGATACACAACATCAATGGAATTCGAGGAACAGGGTAGATGTCACATGACCTACATGTTGCTACACATAAGAAACACCAATGTATTAAACACACTAGTTTAGAAGTGTGCGAGTTTTGTTTACGTTTTTGGTTAGAAGTGTAGTTTAGACAGGGCGTGAAAACGCTGAAGACTTTTCTTTCTCTTTCTTTTATTAGATAGTATAGAGATTGTGGGTTCTAGTTAGAGTTGTGTTTTGTTATATTATTTTCTTTTCTTTGGCGCCACTTTTGTTCCTCCTCCCGTTTATTACAACTATTTATTTACTCTTGTTTTCTTTATTTTGTATATACTCTGTTTATCATTTATTCACTTTGTTAAATAAACACAAGTATTTTGGCATACTTTGGTTGTTTGTCTGCTCCATTGCCGCCACCATTCATAAAAAGGGTCAATTTTAAATGTTGCGTTAACCCGAACGTTTCCATCTTAAATAACCGTGACAGTTTTCAAATAAGCTTCTCCTGCTCACCAAGGCTGCATTCATTTGAGCAAAAATACAGCACACATTGTAAAATTGTGAAATGTTATTGAACTATAAAATAATAGTTAGTTTAAACTAAGTTTATTATTTAATTTAATAATTTATTCCAGTGATTAACTGATGAATTTTCAGCTTCATTACTCCAGTCTTCAGAGTCACATGATCATCTGAAATCCCTCTAATCTTATTTACTACTATTATTATTAATGGTGATAGTAATAAAAGCAATAATGACTGATTTCATTTGAAACTACATACAATAAGAAAGCAGTTATTTACAATTTTAATGAACCTTTAATTTATTAACATTTAATAAATGCTGCCTTGGAAAAATAAAACATGAAAAATAAAACTGACCCCAAACTTTTGACCGGTAGTGTGTGCTTCAATACTACAGAGAAAGAATAAAAAACCTTCAGTATTTTATATGAATATACATCATAACATATCAAACTCCACCACATTCAGGGACAATTTGAAAGATCCCAAAACTCCCACAAAAACCACGTATTAACCTTTACTTCTACCATTTCTTACATCCATTTATAAACGCATTCAGGTTTTCTAGCTTGAATTTAATTTTGAGTAGAACAAACTATATATATATATATATATTTATAATTAAGTTCTTTTATATGCATACTCTTCCTGTCTCCTTGAGCGAACTGTATCTCGATCTGCCGTCCGCAGATCCACTTCCTGTCCAGGTTATGAAGCGCATCCTCTGCGTCCCGAACGTCCTCAAACATGCTGCTGCTGTTAAGGCTTTGCATTGAGAACAGACTGATACACACACACACACTACACTCTAGATCAACATTAGCTTCATGTGCAGAAACAATATCAATAATCAAAAAGCAAAACACAAATCATCATCATCATCATCATCATCTCATTTCATTATGAGAAACGGCATCAGGGGAATGTGCTGGGTGAAATCAGCATCACAATTACCAAAAGAAAATTCTTATTGAATTTTAAGTGTATATAAGAGTGTTTCTACAACTTCAGGCACTTTTATGAGAAGAAAAAGACAGAAAAATATCCGCTGCAAGCATATATACAAATAGAAATGAGATTATTAAATAAAAAACTGCATAAATATAGGTGTTATTTTATAATATATATTCATTACACTATTGATGGGAGTTTTAACAAGACAAAGCTGTTTATAAACAGAATATCTGGATGTCGTTTTTAAATAAACAAATAACAATACTGACTGCAATCAAAATAGTAAAGAAGGTGAAAGTGGTCTATGAAGACTTGTGTTGTACAGTTTATTGTGTAAAACAGTACCGTTACAGCAATTATACTATTACCACATGTATAAAATAAAATGCTTATTAGAGCTGGTCGATTTGGCCTAAAATCAAGATCTCAATTAATTGAAAATTTCAACGCAATTACAATTAATGAATGATTATTTTATTTATTTATTTACATTTTTTGCCCTCATAGTTGTAAAGTGATGTTAGTGAAGTAGGAATGGTTTCTGCTGTTCTGTAGTGCGCTGCAGATGTGAATGAATGGCACGAGAACGTAGTTCCTCTTACAAACATATTTTGAGGCTTTCCGTGTTTGATTTTCTTTTTTAAACAGTAACTGTGCAATATCACAGAGTAACAGTGCGATGTGACTGTATATCGTCACTGGTGGGACACTTTTGCCTCCCACCAGTGCTGATATACAGCCATAATTCCACTGCTACTTGTGTGATATTGCTCGTGTGTGTGTGTGTGTGTGTGTGTGATATTGCTCATGTGTGTGTGTGTGTGATATTGCTCATGTGTGTGACACACAAACACACACACACACACACACACACACAAACAAACAAACACACACACACAAACACACACAAACACAAACACACACACACACACACACACACACACACACACACACACACACACACACACACACACACACACACACACACACACACACACACACACACACACACACACACACACACACACAGTTGAAGTCAAAATTATTATCCCCCTTTGAATTATTATCTGGTTTTGAAATATTTCCCAAATGATGTTTAACGGAGTAAGGAAATTTTCACAGTATAAATGATAATATTTTTAATCGATACTTATTTGTTTCATTTCGGCTAGAATAAAAGGCAGTTTTTAATTTTTTAAAAACAATTTTAAGGACAATATTATTAGCCCCCTTTAGGCAATTTTTTTTCGATAGTCCACAGAACAAACCATCATTATACAGTAACTTGCCTAATTATTCTAACCTGCCTAGTTACCCTAATTACGGGGAAAAAATAAACAGGGGGGCTAATAATTCTAACTTCAACTGTGTGTACACACACACACACATACATACATACATGCATACATGCACACATATATATATATGATTCAAAAATAATTGAAGAAAACACACACTATCTACTATCTATGATTATTTACTTTACGTTGAACAACTGAAATAAAACCCACATTGCCTAAAACAGTCACTCATTCTTATAAAAAAAAAAAGTGAAAATAAATAACTTGCACTTTTGGAAACAAAATATTTTTTTCATATTAAAAGTAGAAAAAAAGCAGTCTCTTCTAAATAAATTAACAGTTGTATATCTTGTAAATAATATTTAACTGCATTTATTGAATCTTCTGTAAACAAACATTTTAATGTAAATAATAATTTTACTGTAATGGAAAATTTGCTGTCTCAAGGCTTTTCTGGTGCAGCTTCCAATCATCGTCAATGTCGTGCAAACACGCGATGTATAGTTACATTTTATGAAAGGTGTGCAGGTTTGCGACCGCTGGAAAAATTATCTCGATTATATCTCGATTATTTCTCTATGTCCATTTCGATTAGTTTCCGATTAATCGCTCGCCCCTAATGTTTATTATATACTTTATTATGCTTTTAAATGCTTTATTATACTTTTTATATAAAACTCCCTTTTTCATCTTCCTGGTAACAATTTAATGCTACATTTTTTGGATCATTTCTAGATAAGTGACAATACTGATGCTGCCATGTATATTCATTACAGCCATTTTATTGATGTGTTTATAGCTATTTTTCCTTTTCTTTTATCATTTTCAAATCAAAATAAGTGAAAATTACAGTAAATTTAAAATACATAATTATGCTAATGTATATTTGATATTATTGCTATTATATAACATTCGTTTCCAAGACAACACTTATTTCTAAGATTATATAATTAGATTAGATAAGTTTAACATCAGCTTTTCAACAGAGGGATGGATATGCATGAGATATTGTAAGTCTTAAGAACTTGTGCATTGGTACAGAGAGTGTTCAGTGCCTGCAGTTGCAGAAACAGCCATCAGTCAGCATCAAACGCATTACAGATATGACCTGTGTACAGAAATCATCATGATCGTGTGCTCTGTGATGTAGGATACAGCATTAAACGGGTCGGTTACCTTTAACATGCTTGAGCTTTGACTTGAGCTTGATCTTTACTTGACTTGGAGACTCAGACTGGGCCCAATAACCTTTAGTCTGCTCCTCTTTCTGCGCTCAGACCGAGGCCGAGGCTCCAATTTTGGTCCCCTTTGAATCTTCAAGCTTTACCTTTCTCTTTATCTTTCTCTTTGTCTTTGTCTTGAATCTACTCTACATCGGCCCTTTTAAATATTCTCTTTCTTGGGAGGGTCTCCAGAACTGTATGTCTTTACATTTTCTGAGACAACAACAGAGGAAATAGATCGGTTAGCAGACAAACATCGCAAATGTTCACCGCTAATCATGCTTTTTAGAGGAATCACATGCAAAAATGCTGATTCTGACATTAATGTTCAGCTACAATCAAAGTCAATGGAGCTGTGGGGGTAAAAAAAGGACTACAGTTTGACAAGTATGTGGGACAACAATGTACTTTTGAGGTTTTTAGGCGAGAATGCAGTTGTTTAGATTGCAACTACGCAGTTTATTTATAAGAATAGTGCCTATTTTAAATATAAGTGCCTTTTTCGTATACTGTAGTGCTGTATTTATACCATAGTAATCTTCTAGTGTTTGCTTTGCCTTGGATTTTTCAGGGATAATTATAGTGAAATCTCTATTGCAACAGGGAAATACTGGCATATCTCTGTAGACTGATGGCATTTCATGCTGTTCAGCCTTATAATCTTAAAATGTGAGCAAAATCAGCTGTTTTGGCATCACTTTAGACATTAGTCATTCAAACACTAGCTCTAAAGTGATGTTGCTGTTCTGACGTCAGCTGCAGATGTGAATGAATGGCGGAAGAAAGTAGTTCCTCATACAAAAGGATTTTTAGACTACATGTTTGATTAGCTTTTTTATATGCACGATTATGCCGTCAAACTGCTGTATAAAGGCAATATCACACTCGTAGCAGTGCGATATGACTGTATATCGTCACTGGTGGGACACTAAGGCATTAAGGCCATCACACACCTACCACTAGTGCCCATATACAGCCATATCGCACTGTTACTCATGTGATATAGCTCATATATAGTACATGTGATAGAAGCAAAACTGTTTTATTACAAAGATATTTTAATTTATTTATAATTTCTATCATATACATATTTTATATCTAAACAAAACATTCTCTCAAATATATGCCAGCACGTGTGTATTTATACATAATAAGTATACACATCACACACACTTTTATTTGGTATGTGATTAATCACAATTAATTTTTGCCCAGCACTATAAGTACATCAATCATGTGTGTGTGTGTGTGTGTGTGTGTATTAAAAAATTTTTATTTTATTTTAAATGAAATAAATTAAGATGCAAATATTAGCATTAAAATTTAAAAGTAATATAAAATATATTTATGCCACTTTTTTTTCTCTTATAAATATAAAAATCATTATATAAAAGCATTATAAAGCATATATATTAATAATAATATTTATAATAAGTATATGATTATAACATTTACAATAATCAAAATATAATTTTAGTCAAACTAATTTAGTCAAAAACTGTGGAAACATGGTTATGAAATCTCACAATAATAACTATTATTTTTATTTTACTAATCTTATTACAAAACAAACATGTATATTTGCATTTCACTATTTTTATGAACAAAAATAAATAAATAAATAAAATAAATCGGAATGTAAAATTTTTAATTATTGATATTAACCAAAAAAAGGTGTGATTGAATTAAAATACATTTCTGAAGTACAAAAACTGAAATATTTGTTTGAGTATGTTTTACAAGAAAACACCATTTATGACTTCTTAGAGTGATGCATTTAATATATTTAATAAGGATTATAGCACATGATTCACAGTTTAAAATAAATAAACATATATTTTTATTTATATACAAGCGAAGCTAATTACTTTATTATTTTATACAAATAATAGTACATGCTTTAAACTAATACAAGTTTTTTTTAAATAAAAGTCAGATGAGTTCGCTAACGTGCTGAACAGCTCCATCCACTTTCATCACGTATAAAAGAGTTTTCATTTCACACAAACAGAACTAAAAGGCTGAACAGATAATGACAGAATGCTGATTTCTGCATGAACGATCCCTTTAAAAGCTCACAGTTTTAGTCTCTCTCTTACACATTTGTCTACAAAGGATATTGTACGTATGCAAATCCTCTTGGTCGGCGTGAATAGAAGTCAACAGGAATGTAGACATCTACTATAGGCCCGTAACGACCAAACTCACGACGCAAATCCTCTGGCCTAAAGCACCATGAAACGACAGAATATTCATTCGTCTGTCTGAGAGCGTTTCCCACAGTGCTTTGAGGACAACAAACTCATATCAGCTGTCTCTGAAGCGCTCATAATTACCAAAAACACATCATGCTTAAAGGTGCTGTATGTAAGATTGACACCTAGTGGTTGAACTAGATATTGCAGTCCAAATTCAAAATATTGGATTTTTTTCACCCAGTCCCCTCCTCAGACTAAAAGAGATACAAAAACAAAAGAAAGTTTCCCATTCATTTACCCATTTAATTGACATAATCAGAAAAATCCCAGCCTTATTCAATACCATTATAGAAATCACCATAGACCACAGATTCAGCTCAAAATCTGCTGTAATGTTCTACTGAAAAAAAAACTTTGAAGACCTGTGGGTGAGTAAATCAATGAGAAATGTTTTGCGTGAACTAGAATGTTGGATTTCTGACTCAGACCGCTTTCATTTAGCAGCTTCTATGACTACAATGAAATATGCTGATATGTTTTCCACCAACTGGCAACCATGGGTGCTGAAATATAACTGGGTAAACTGGCAGTGGGCGGAGTTACAGATCAAAACAAAGACAAATACTGAAACTAAGCAAATTTTTAAAGAATAACTGACTTTAGCGATGTTTCTCAAACACGTCTGTTCATTTAGCATGTTTCTGAAATATCTGCAAATATTTACACTTATAGGAGAATCACAAACTTACACACAGCACCTTTAACTGGCAAATTCATAGTGAAGTAGTAAACTATCTATAACACTGAGCTTCATGAGTTTGCAAATGATGGAACAGAATCAGCATTCACTCACAGGTTTGCCTACATTGTGCCAAACAATGTTATTATAAATAAAAAAACCTCTTAAAAACATGTCAACTGAAAGAAAAGCTAAAATTTGAGATTTTTGAAAAATGTTTTAAAATAAAACTAATCAATTGGTAACACTGAAAACTACACAAATTAAAATAAGATAAGGTAAATATCAGACGATGTCATTAACCACTGATAGATTTACACAAAATAATTGCCCTGCTGAAAGGGGTTTTGGCCATTTCCAGGCTGGTTTCCAGCCATTTCCAGCCTGGTCAGGTTGGGAGATGACCAGCTAAATTCAGCTAAAACCAGCCTGGTTTAGGCTGGACATAGCTGGTTTGGGCTGGGCTCCCAGTCCCAGCCTGGCTAGGCTGGTCAAGCTGGTGTTAGCTGGTCATCTCCCAACCTGACCAGCTTAGACCAGGCTGGAAATGGCTGGGAACCAGCCTGGAAAAGGCCAAAACTCCTCTAAAACCAGCCTGGTGGACCAGCTTAAACCAGCCAACCAGCCTAGGCTGGTTTAAGCAGTTTTTTTTAGTAGGGTGATAATAAAAACGTAATCCGATATTTAAAAGGTGCTTCAAAAAGTTAAAAAAAAAAACAAAAAGCTCAATTCAAAATTATTTAAAACAATAATACTTTAAGACACAAATTAAAACAAAAAACTGGAAAAAAAGGAATGTATAAAAAGCTAAATATTAAAACAGAACAAAACATCTATATATGAGCAATTCCATGCAAATGTCAACCTTGCCATGAAAAAATAAAGGTTTTAACTAAAATGGAAACCGTTTCTGGGTCTTTTGGGTAAGCAAGTATTTACAGCACTTTAGAAATACTCAAAAATGCATCGTCAATGGTTTCAAACTGTTATATTTGATTTACCAAAGTCACACAAGCGGCAACTTCACATCCGTCACATCCATAACAACACGTTTTCCTCATAAATCTGAAAATATTAAATGAAATAAAGTCAATCATTTTTGTTTTATAGAGAGCCAACTCTTCTCAATAATAATCCTTTTGATTATTATTGTTTCTTTTGGGTTGTGCAGTTTAATTCACAGAATTTCTACAAAGTATGTTGTCTACTGTAAACTCGCAGACTTTTTTTGTCACATCCATAATGTATGTTTAGTTTCCTTATTTAAAATACAAAACATGTTTACAGATTGATATTTTTCTGGTGCCTTAATTCTGTGGTCAGTTGTTCAGGAAAATATAAACAAAAGTTTCAATATAATCTTAACATATACTTTAGTTTTTACTGCAAATGTCGCATGCATAACGCTGGAATTGCTCATATATATTTTTTTAAACCTTCAAAAGAAAACATAAAGCTGCTAAATAACTGATTGTGGATGATTTTACATTTTCATTCTCATCATTATTGGCACATTTTTAAATGCTTCGTTTTTATACATCAGCTTACAATACAAGATACTTTCTGGAAACATAAAAGCATAAAACTCTGACCAGACAAGAGCATTAATTAAATAAACATGCATGAACACCTACAGCAGTTTAGTTTCAGTTAGTAAACACTTTTAACTAGTACTGGGTTAAAGATGCAATGCAAAGCAAATGCTATAATAACAGACTGTAATATTTAGAGTCTCATATTATACAATTTAAGTCTGTAATTCATTATGTATGTATAGCTCATTAATATGCAAGCGTCTAATTACAGCCATTTAATGAAGGAAACCCATTCCTGCTACAAATATTAGAGTAAACATTAAATATGCGAGACAAACAGAATAATTATGTATTAATTTGGCCTTTAATATATTTGATCAGATTAGCAAGGAGTACAAAACGCGGCCAAGCGCAAATTAGACAAAATACATTCACTATCAAGCCAATTTATTTTATACTTGTCTATAAATTATGCTTGACCATGGTGTATTTTATTGCATATGCTCTATTTTATTTTAGTTATAGAGGTTTTGAAAGACACAGAAGCGGTTGTTAGCATTAGCATCTCTCTCGCACGGCAGCTAACGTTACTAACTTAAATAGCGTCAGTCCTCGCGCGGCTACTAACCTGCTGTCGTCGGAGATGTTTCTGATGAACAGGGAGGTGTTTGGAGGTCTCATATATCTCGCCATGATGATTAAAAACTGCAACTTTCAGATCCACAAACACACAGGCCGCACTCCAGAACAAGCTGCACACGTACACAACGCGCCACACACTCACGAGCAGCAAAGCGCATGCGCCGCACACGACGTCACCACCATGTTACTTTCTATTGGTCTTGAGCACCCATAACCGGAGCACCCGGAGGAAACCCACGCCAATACGGGGAGAACATGCAAACTCCACACAGAAATGTCAGCTGACCCAGCCAAGGCTAGAACCAGCGACTTTCTTGATGTAAGGCTATCGTCCTACTCACTGCGCCACCATGACGCTTTATATTAAAACTTGCAAAATTAAAAAAAGTTGTTTTGTAAGGATATTTTTGTCATACAATAATAATAGTAAACATTTGGAGCAAAATTTGTTTATTAATTTAATGATTAAATTTGGGAAGTGCCATGTACATAAACAAAAATGGCCCAATGATACACCTAACAGGAGGGTATCAGTGGGTATCGCTGTCACCTCACAGCAAGAAAGTGGTCAGTTGGCGTTTCTGTGTGCAGTTTGCATGTTCTCCCTGTGTTTGCATGGGTTTCCCTCACAGTCCAAACACGTAGTACAGGTGAACTGGGTATGCTAAACTGTAGTAAATGTATGAGTGTGTATGGGTGTTTCCCAAAGATGGGTTGCAGCTGGAAGGGCATTTGCTGCATGAAACGTCCTGGATAAGTTGAAGGTTTATTTTTGGCGACCCCAGAATAATAGACACACTAAGCCGAAAAACTTAGTTAAAACCTAACATTTATTTGTTTAAAATTGATCTTAAGCATTATACTAATAACCTAAAACATTAAATATAATAAAGCTATAAGGATGTATGCAATTTTGGAATCATTTTCTTATGCAAATTTCTTGTAACTCATACATTCCCAGTTGTTTTATTTATTTATTTTATTCTCTATTGATTTGTTCCTTTAATGTAAAAAAACACCATATTAAAGTCAAAATTATTAGCCCCTTTAAGCTATATTTTTTTTCAAATGTCTACTGAACAAACCATCATTATACAATAACTTGCCTAATTACAAGCAAACTACATTTGTGTTGCCATGGAAACTATAATCGACATAACAAAAAAATTTCTAGGTTTTGTTACGATAGAAATTATAAAATCACTAAAAATTGACTATTGCTGTTACCATAACAACTATAGAATCGACACAACAGACTAATTACTATAGTTGTGTTACCATGGCAATTATAGAATTATAAGAGATCAATTACAACAGTTGTGTTACCATAGCAACAATAGAATCGGCACAACAGATTATTTACTATAGTTGTTACCATAGCAACTATAGAATCACGACAACAGATCAATTACTATAGTTGTGTTACCATAGCAACTATAAAATCACCACAACCGATCAATTACTATAGTTATGTTACCATAGCAACTATAAAATCACCACAACCGATCAATTACTATAGTTATGTTACCATAGCAACTATATAATCACCACAACAGATCAATTACTATAGTTGTGTTACCATAGCAACTATAGAATCACCACAACAGATCAATTACTATACTTGTGTTCCCATAGCAACTATAGAATCACCACAACAGATCAAATACTATAGTTGTTCCCATAGCAACTATAGAATCGACACAACAGAATAATTACTATAGTTGTTGCATTACCATAGCAATTATAAAATCGCCACAACAGACTAATTACTATAATTCTGTTACCATAGCAACTATAAAATAAACATAAGATCAATTACTATAGTTGTTACCATGGCAACTATATAATCAACACAATAGATCAATTACTATAGTGGTGTTACCATGGCAACTACAGAATCAACACAACAGATTAAATCAAGCATTTTATAAACAGAATGGTTCAAAAACAGCACAGTATTTACTCTAAATTACTGTAGTATTTTGTATGCAGGCAGAAAGAAACAGAATAAAGGATGAAGCAGAACACTAGTTTGCATCCAAGTTTATTTTTGAAATTCCCTACTCCCTCTATACAAGAAAAAATGACTTTCCACAAAGGCAGCAGTGAACTCTCAGTGATAGTAATATTTATGTTTAGGGCAGGAAAAAAAAAATCATAAATCACAGTGTAACCTTCTTTTTCTTTAAATACTCCTGCTGTCGTCTTTGGCTGGGTTTGGCGGGACAGTTTACCGTCAGGCCAAAGTCACGGGAAGTTACAGTTCAAGCCAATGGAGCTGCAGGCTTCAACTTTACAAAAGCCAATGCAGGAATGTTGCGTTATACTCCGATAACCGGAAATAATAATAATAATAATAATAAAAAAAAGAAACAAAAAATAAGAACAAGCCGTCCACGTTTGCAACGCAGACCCCAAAAAGATAAGACTGCCAGGGGGGCGACAGCACTTTCTCAATTTCATAAAATTGTATAGACAAAGAAAAATAAATCTACAAAAATGGAACTAGTAATATTACACAACGATTAAACAAGTTTCGTTCATCTACACAAAACCGAAGTTCTTGGTCTTGATGGCTAGTAAAAGTTTCTGTTTGAGGATCTGTTTGGAAGAGTAAAGTGGCACGTAGAGGCGAGAGATGCAGGTGTTGGCTGTGGGCAGGTGCTGGTCGTCCGGCGGGCGGATGGTGATGGAGGGCATCGGCTGGAAACCTTCTTCACTGGCCGGCAGAGACGGGCTGGACGTCCAGAAGTACACCTGCGGGACACACACACACTAATGAAAATACGGTCTGAAAATACTGAACCCAATGTTGGATTCAATGTGGACAAACCAAACCATTGGGTTAAAGTGTAGTTAAAGTGTGTAATTTAAATTTAACAGAAAAAAATTAACTAAACAACAATATTGGGTCAAAAACACTGGGTTAAAAAAAGAGTAAATAAATTTATCTGAAGAAAAAACAAAACAATGTTAGGGTAAATATGGACAAAACAACCGTTGGGTTTCATTTAAGTTAACTTTGGGGAGGGGTTGGGGGGATATATATATATATATATATATATATATATATAGGGTAGAAAACACACCATTGGGTTAAAAAGTGTAATTTTAATTAACTGGAAAAAAACAAAAACAATGTTGGGTCAGATTTGGACCAACCCAACAGTTGAGGTAATAGGTGTCATTTAAATTTAATAAAAATAAATAAATAAATAAATAAAAATAATAAATCACCCAATAATGGGTTAAATAAAGCCAACCATTGGGTTAAAAGGTGTCATTTTACTGAAGAAAAAAAATGTTGGGTTAAATATGGACAAACCAAACCATTAGGTTAAAGTTTAGTTTAAGTTAACTGGAAAAAAACAATAACATAAAAAAAATATTGGGCCAAAAAACACACCATTGGGTTAAAAAGTGTAATTTAAATTCATTTGGGGGAAAAAATGTTGGATTAAAAACTTGAACAAACAAAGCTATTGGATTAAAAATATTAATTAAAAAATAATATTATATAAAAATCTAAACAATGTTGTGTTAAATATGAACAAACTCAACCACTGAGATAAAGTGTCGTTTTAACTATTTAACTATTTAATATTTAAACATTTAAATTTAAGAACATTGGGTCAAATATGAACAAACCCAACTGTTGAGTTAAAAAGTATATAAATTGAATGAATAAATAAAAAAATTCACCCAATGATGGGTTAAACATGAACGAACTCAACCATTGGCTTAAAAAGTGTCATTTAAAAATAATAATAAAAAATATATATAAACAATGTTGTTTTAAATATTAACAAACCCAACCACTGGGTTTAAGAAGTGTAACGTAAATTGAATTGAACAAACACTAGCCAATGTTGGGTCAAACACGTACAAACACAAGCATTGGGTTAAAAAGTGTCATTTAAATTTAAATGGTTAAAAAAAAAAAAAAAAAAAAAAAAAAAATCACCCAATGATAGGTTTAATATCAACAAACCCAACTGTTGGGTTAAAATGTTAAATTTACATTTAATTGCAAACAATTAAACAAACAAAAATGCTGGGTCATATATCAACAAACATAAAAGTATAATTTCAATTAAACTGAAAATAAAAAATAATAATAATTGGGTAATAATAATTACCCATAGTTCGGTTAAACAGAGAAAAAGCTTATTATTGGGTAACCAAAAATTGGGTTAAATAGGAAAAAACCCATAAGTTGGGTTAAAACTTATTTAAAATTTTATGAAAAAACAAGACTAAAAAATAATTCACCCAATGATGGGTTACACATGAACAAACCCAACCATTGGGTTAAAAAAGTGTCATTTAAATGTAATAATAATAATAACAATGCTGTGTTAAATATTAACAACCCCAACCATTGGATAAAAAAAGTGTAAATTTAATTTAATTTAAAAAATAACCAATGCTGGGTCAATTATGGATAAACCAGCTATTGGTTTAAATTGTGCCATTTACATTCAATTATAATATATTATTTTATTATGGACAAATCCAACTGCTCGGTTAAATATGGACAAATCCAACTGCTGGGACGTGTCTAATGTGGAGTAAAGGCATGCAGTAGTGTCTCACCAGGTCCTGCCTTTCCGTCATGCTCATCTTCTCAACGATGGACCAAAACCAGCGCTTGAACTGCAGCAGCTTCTCTGCATTCTCACCTGCAGGGTAAAACACAACTCACAATTAAGCACAAAACACACAATGGATGACTTTAGCTTATAAGTAAATTACATTATTAAAAAACAAATAGAAGAAAAAAAAACCTTTATACCATTATATATATATATATATATATATATATATAGCAACCTTAAAGCAATAAGATTATACTCAAATTTATTAAATGTAATATTTTTCTTATAATTTAGAAAAATAAAAATAAAAATCTACAAATAAATTTGAGTACAAAGCAGGTACAATTTTATTTTAATCAGGAATACAATACGTTCATGTTTTAAACACTGGTTTTGTGGATGATTTAAAAAAAAAAAAAAAAAAAAAAAAAAAAAAAAAAGAACTGGAGTTTTAGTTTTTTCTTTAGCACCCTTGTCACATTTACATTTATTTGAAATGTCCCAAAACTCACTTGGAAAATAGGTAGATGTTCATGTAAATAAAATGTTTACTTTAA